ACACACAAATTAGCCTTGAGGATATTCTTTTGTCTGAACACTCTGGGAGTTTCTGAGTGATACACTAATAAAGGCTTCACTTTGCAATCACCAGTAGCATTGGAACACATCAACAGAATAAGCCTGTCTTTCATAGGCTTATGTCCTGGGAGTGCCTTTTCCTCCTCAGTAATGTAGGTCCTGGTTGGCATTTTCTTCCAAAACAGGCCTGTTTCATCACAATTAAACACTTGTTCAGGTTTCAGTCCTTCACTTTCTATGTACTCCTTGAATTCCTGCACATATTTTTCAGCTGCTTTGTGGTCCGAACTGGCAGCCTCACCATGCCTTATCACACTATGTATGCCACTACGCTTCTTAAATCTCTCAAACCAACCTTTGCTGGCCTTAAATTCACTCACATCATCACTAGTTGCAGGCATTTTTTTAATTAAATCCTGATGCAACTTCCTAGCCTTTTCACTTATGATCACTTGAGAGATGCTATCTCCTGCTATCTGTTTTTCATTTATCCACACCAATAAGAGTCTCTCAATATCTTCCATCACTTGCGATCTCTGTTTCGAAAACACAGTTGAACCTTTGGCAAGAACAGCTTCCTTGATTGCCTTTTTGTTGCCCACAATAGTAGCGATGGTTGACTGGGGTTTATTATACAACCTGGCCAGCTCGGAGACACGCACTCCACTTTCATACTTATCAATGATCTCTTTCTTCATCTCTATAGTAATTCTCACCCTTATTCCTGTAGGGTTGGCACTAGAAGCTTTCTTGGGGCTCATGGTCACTTATTTTGCAGATAAAATCACCAAAAACACTGTAATAATACGAAATATTCCGATTGTATGCTTGGATGTTACCGCGGAGGCTGGCTGGTAAACAATGCCACCAGCGGAACATGTGAGGCTGGCTAAGGCCGCACATTAGACGCGTCTCGGATGAACAGCGTTGAGTGGATTTTTTAGCGGTATGCGAGGCAAAATCTTAGCGATAAAACGTATCGGTATGCGGATTTAACGTTATGTAAGGCCAATGGTATGCGGGGGTCCACTGTACATCCTGGCCAGTTCGCCCACACGTACGCCACTTTCATATTGTTCAATGACATTTTTCTTAAATTCAATCATATTTCTCACCTTCTTTACCAAAGGCTTGGCACTAGGAGCTTTCTTTGGAGCCATGGTAGCTTATTTAGCACTTGCAAGCACTAAAATGAATGGAATATTATGAAATATTTTGTATGAACACGTGAGGGGACCGTCGCTCACTGGTAAACAATGGCACACTAGCTGGGAAGGGAGGACGACGCAGCTCAGAGCCGTGAGTAAGCGTCCAGGACGAAAGATGATTAGCGAATTAACGGACCATTTACGAGCCAATGTTTAGACGAAATAACGGGACTATTTCCGAAATGGACGACTTTCAGGCCGGACGGCTATTGAGGGACCACTGTACATTTAATCCGTTCCAGACATCCAAAAATATTCACAAAAAATACATTTTTTAGAGATTAATTATAGTTTTACATACACAAAACAATGAGAACTAAATAAAATAAATACATAAACAGCCTTTATTGAAGGCTGTTGTTGGCTTATGGAAGATAGGGAGGAGGAGAGAGGGAGGAGAGTTTATTGTTTGGAAGGAGAATCCCCCTCCATAAGGACTTCACTAATAGCAGCACTTGTTCCAGGCATTTTATTTACAAGATCTGCATACAACTGCTTTGCCTTCTCACAGATCACTGACTTCACAACACTATCTCCTGCTAATTGTTTTTCCCTGATCCACAACAATAATAACTTTTCCATATCTTCCATTATTAGGTGACCTTTGTTTCGTTATCACATTTACTCCTTTCGCAACTTCAGCTTCCTTGATTTGTTCTTTCTTTGCCAGGATGGATGTGATGATTGATTTGCTTTTCCCATACATCCTGGCAAGTTTCCAACTCGCATCCCACTCTCAAATTTTTCGATCACTTCTCTCTTAAATTCCATCGTGTTTCTCACTTCCTTTACCACAGGAAATTTACTAGAAACTTTCTTTGGGGCCATGCTTACTTATTTCACAGTCGCACTTAATAAAAACAAAGAAAAACGCTGATTTATAGTGAAATGCTTGGATGAATGAGCAGAAGCTTCTTCACTTGGCCAGTGACACAGCTACACTGGCTCAGGAACGGGCGAGCGTCACTGGCCAATAAGCATCCAATACGGCCGATAAGCTAAATAGCGGCAGGTAATCGGAAGCCGAAAAACCGGCCAATAAGCGAGCTGGCCAATAAGCGATGTCCTGTCTAGGGCAATATGTGATGTAAATATTATGAAGAGAATTCATAGTGTGGAAATTAGGAGAAAATATGGAGTTACTAAAAGTATTAGTGGCTGAAGAGGGGCTGTTGAGATGTTTTGGTCATTTAGAGAGAATGGAACAAAGTAGAACGACTTGGAGAGCATATAAATCATAGGGGAAAGGGAAAGGGGGGAAAGGGGTCAGCCCCAAAAAAGCTGGGGGAGTGGGTAAAGGTGGTTTTGTGGGCAAGAGGCTTGGACTTCCAGCAAGTGTGCGTGAGCATGTTAGATAGGAGTGAATGGAGATGAATGGTTTCTGGGACCTGATGAGCTGTTGGAATGTGAGCAGGGTAATATTTTGTGAAGGGATTCAGTGAAACCGGTTAACCGTACTTGAGTCCTGGAAATATGTAGTACAATGCCTGCACTTTAAAGGAGGGGTTTGGGATATTGGCAGTTTGGAGGGACATCCGAGCTGTCATATCTGGGCACCTCTGCAAAGACAGCGATTATGTATGAAAGTGTTGAATGATGAAAGCTTTTTCTTTCTTTTTAAGCTTTTCTTTCTTTTTGGGTCACCCTGCCTTGGTGGGAAATGGCCGATGTGTTAAAAAAGAAAATTATACAGTGTTAATTTTACCTGCCAATGAGCATCATCTGAGAAAATCAACTACAATGACAGTTTAGATGTTATCTTCATACTTCCTTCTTTTTATGGTTTATACTGTAGTGTACATGATAGATCATATCACATACACTACAGTATCTTAAATACAATACTGTAATACATTAAGGAGGGCTTGGAATGTTTTAGTTAGAGGTTAATCTATTTGATGTCAGCACACTTCTGGAAAGACAGCAATTGAATGAATGATGGTAAATGTACTTTTTTCTTTGGGTCACCATGGCTTGGTAGGAGATGGCTGTTGAGTTAAAATAGTTAATAAGTTTCAAAGTATCCCTTTCAGGTTTCAATAATTTTTTGTCTGAACTAAAATAGTGTAGCAAATCAATATATTTAACTTCGTTGGGAGTCTGATTCAGTATAACAATGGGATTGCCTGTGTGTACATTTACTTGCTTCATTTGATAGTGTTAAATAAACAGTGGCTGCCTCCAGAATATTGTGTTTGGCTTTGTCCACTTCCTCATACAACTGTAGTGCTATTCCATAGTTCATGTATTAGTGTAGATTGCAGTGAATATATGTATGTGCCTGCAGGCAAGTCTGAAGATCATATCCTGTCCCACCAATATAATTCTTACATGGAATGTTATAAACTGCTGCAACAGTGGTACTTTAGGGTTTGCTATGTCTGGTAATGCCTTTGATGATTTTGTCAACTGCAACAAGATTGTCAATATTGGCTTTAAGGAAGACAGGGGTTATACTGGATGCATACTGTCCTCTGGGTAGATGATGATCAATGTTGGTTTTTTTCCTGGGAGTAGTGTGAATGAATAGGCTATTTTTTTTTTTTTTTTTTTGCAGGAGTGGATGATCTGAAGTGGGAACTTATGGGCTGTGAAGAGGTCCCTGATGTAATTCTGCTTCTCCTCAGGAAATTCTTTTTCATTACAAACCCTGAGAGCAGAGAGGATGAAAATCTATGATGATTCCTGGTTTAATCTTGGGGTCATGGTGGAAAAATTTGAGTATCAAGTGAATTTTCTATAAAACTCCTGTGTTTGAGTTTTTCCCATCCTTGATGAGGAGGACATCAAGAAAGAGTATGCTTTTCTTCTTCAAGGGTAAACCGTATGGTGGGTTCTACTGAGTTGAGTGTGTCCTTGAATTAGTGAAGAGTAGAGAGAATAGGGATAATATGCCATATTTGTCAGCAGAGGTCATCATTAAAGGAAAGAGGTTGAACCTAATAAATACGAGGTGCTATCAAAAAGTTCATAGACTGCCATGAAAAAATAAATAGGCTTATCTAATCACCTATTTGAAGTTGTCTCCCTTGAGGTACTCTCCTTGGGAAACTAACACTAAATCCCAGCACCTCTGCCAAGTCTCAAAACATTTCTGTAACTTTTCTTTCCTAGTGGTGTCTAGCTCAGCCTGTGATTCTGCCTGAATCTCCTCCATGTCATTAAAACACCACACCTTGAGTGCCATTTTTATTTTAGCTAGAGAGATCACAGGGAGTAGATCTGGGGAGTAGGGAAGATGGGGACACTTCTGGCAAGACTGCTATTGAATGAGTGATGATGAATCTGTTTCCTTTTTCTTTGCTTTCACAGATGTGTTGAACAATGCTGCAATAGCAGCTAATTAGCACATGAGTAACTTTCTTATGCAATATATGAATGTAGGTACTGAGTACCTTTCAAATATTGCACATGTACTTCAGTATTAATGCCATATAAACTAAGATCTAGAAAACCCTCAATTTAACAGACTAACAGGAGAAGCAGATGGTTGGTAATGATGACTTGTGGTCGACAAGAGATGAGATTATTTTGCTGTTATCATAATAATGAACAATTCTGTAACCAATGAACTTTGCTGTTTAGGAATTAAACGACTCAGTGGATTCTGTCCTGGATTTTTCTAGTCTATTAAATCAAGGTACAATATGTTAAATTAAGGGTTTACTATATTTCCTCCTCAGGATTCCATTATACACATTAAATATCCTTATGAATACTCCAAAGATTCAAAAAAATTCATCACTATATCTATAAACACAGCACTCACCTGCATTACTGCAAGTAAACCATTGCAGGCATTAATGTGCATGGCATATACCTGTCAAATCCCATTTTCCCCACGCCAACGAGCAAATCTATTAAGTTCTTCATACTTCGAAAGCTGGACTAGGCGACTAATTTCATAAATTTGTGGTGGAGGTAACCACAGTTCCTTATTATACCATTGTTCAAGAATGACTGAAGGGGAAGACACCTGCAAAATAAAATAATTTTTTTTAATGAATGTGACCTGCACATCATATAAAACCATTTGACAATAAAAACCACATGCCACAATATGTAAGCATCCATTAACTAGCAATGTCAGATTACCTCCCTCTGCCTTTCACTGTCTCCTACATAAATAGATCTACGTCACTGATGCCAATGTCTGGTGCAGATCTATGTTTTCAGCATAGCTCCTTCTAATATGCTATGAGTAATAAATTTTGATGTAGACATGAGAAAATGGATTTGTGCAGTGAGTGTGCACAGTATAAAAAAAAATCCTGCCCCACGTGGTGCATGATGACAAAAAGCAAACCTCTGACCTTGTATGTGGTTTAAAATAATGATGTTGAGGTGTTTTCGAGGGTATTTTTTATGGCTTTACTGGGTGTTTCTTGCTATCAGTTAATAGAATGGAAGACATATCAGTGAAATGGAGATAATTTTGGTCAGTTTCAGATTGGAAATAGCTTGAAATAGCTCTCAAATTGATGGAAATATTGGAAAATGGATTCAAAATGGAGGACACATGTCATATAGGAGAGGCCTGGGGATGTGATTGATGAATGGAGGAAAGGTTGCTTTAGCGACTGGAATAACTAGTGTTTATTTTGGACTCTTTTTAAATTACCAACTTCTCTGCACATCACAGCTGAATGGGTGGTTTCTTGTGCTCAGTCAATAGAACAGAAGACAGACTAATGAAATAACTAAGAATAGGTCAAACTGAACATTGGAATTGGCTTAAAATTAAAAGTGGGTGAAATTACCGATGTGTAAGTTATGCCCTGACCACCAACTTTGCGCCTGTGTAATTCCATAAGATTAGCATTTTCTTTTTTTTTGGTGTCATTACTTTCAGAAAAAATTTGCCACTAATTCAGATTTTTTTTTTTATAATGTGACATTTGCAGCACTTTTAATTCCTGGAGTTGTGGCAAGTTGAAAGTTAACCAGTAGAATCACATTATCATTCAGGATAAACCTCAATATAAATATTTTGTCACTATAATTGTGATAAGGAACAATGACAATCCTAACAAAGCAAGAAACTAGAAATGAAAACTGGAGGATGTTTCAGTTAGTCTTGGGCCATCATCAAGGACCAAGAGAGTTAGAAATTGGTAAAAGCAAGAAGGTTAAGACTGTGGGAGATGGAATTATCAACATCAAGTATAAGATACTCTGAAAATTAGAGCAGTTTATATTGTTTTGGGTGAGCAATCCTAACCATCATTTCAATTTCTCAACTCTTGGGGATTTGTTCCAGCCACAGTATTGTGACTTATTTAACAATAATGAAAAATATAATTTACAATTGCAAGTATCTACAAGAACCATGAATTTCAAAGGCTCTTCTGTAATTTGGTCCTTAACATAATTGAACTTACCTGAAGACCCACAACTTCCTTATTATCAGTAATTACTCTTGGAATGGTATCTATAAATGTGATGTAGAAAGCTGTATCAAATCTCTTTTTGTCTATATTGGTTGGTGTGAGCCAACCCATCCATTCATGAAGGTCCCAGACTGCAGGACAACCACCCATCTCTTGAAACAATCTAATAAACTGAAATGATTGAAAATGCCCATTAGTTCCAGTGAATAACTGAAAGCAATGAAAAATCTAAATTTAATGGAGTAGAAAAATATGCATTGATGGATTATAAATAAAATATAATAACTATAATGAAATCAGAAGTAAAAAAAAAAAGTACAATTACAAGAGAAAAAGTCTAAAAAAAAAAATACAACATATGAAACCAATGAGCCGGACTTGAGTCCTTGAGATGGAAGTACAGTACCTGTACTCTGCAGGAAGGGTGAGGATCCTGCAGTTCAGAGGGCCATCTGAAGTGACATCAGCACACTTCTGGCAAGACAGCAATTGAATGAATGACAGTGAACGTGTTTCCTCTTCTTGGGTCACCCAACTTTGGTGGGAGACCACCAGTGTGTTAAAAATGAAACAGGTGTAGGAAAAACCATTCTGATTTCTATCTTGCTGTATTTCTGATGATGCAACCTGACTGTCCAAATATAGAAGTTTTTTCATTTTCATGTTAACTGCTTCACCCACTCAACCCAACTCTAACCTGGCTGAGTCAGCCGTCACACCCAGTGCAGCTCAAAACAGAGAAAGTGAAATTCCTATTGACTAACTAGCCGGCAGGTGTATGAAAGGAACAATCCATCATTTTATGAGGGCTCGCTATAAGCAAACCTCATTTCTAGCAGTAATTCCATAAGTGCAATATAAATTTGTTCTTATGCAATAGTGTGGTTTGCAAAACTGAAGTGAAGACTTCCCTTAAACACTGCACGAAAGTCCTTCAAACTTCAATGTATTCACCAAGGACCTGGAGCACACCTAATGTAGAACTAGGAACACCTACATTTAGTGCAAACTTATAGCTTAAGTAAATTTTTAAATGCACTGCAGACCTAGGGACTTTTCCATGCAAGTTGTCATTGTAAAACACTATTGAATATTTGTCAATCTATGTATCTTCACAATAAATAAAGTTTTATTTCAATTTATTTTATTTTAACACACTGGCTGTCTCCCACCAAGGTAAGGTGACTCGAAAAAGAAGAAACACTTTCACAGTCATTCACTCTATCACTGTCTTGCCAGAGGTGAGCTGATACTACAGTTCAGATGCCCCTTCAAACTGCAAATATTCCCACCCCTTCCTCAGAGCTAAAGCATTGTATACTTTATACCTCCAGGACTCAAGTCCAGATAACCGGTTTCCCTGAATCCCTTCAAAAGTTTTACCTTGCTCACTTTCTAATGGCTGTCAAGTCCCAAAAATCATTTGCCTCCAATCACTTCTATCTGACACACTCACACACATTTGTACTATAGTAACTAGCATCACTTTGAAAATTCTGCTTATATTAAACATTGTTCATGATTACTCTTAGCTACAATTAGCACCAAGGGTACTGTGACCCTGAATGGGTCACAATGTATATAATGTATATTACCTGTTCATATAATTTATATTGCTTACATTTGCGATATTAGGTAAATCGTAAATATACTGTTTTATATTATTATTTGACTTAGTTATATTTATTAGGTAGGATGTAACATTTATATATATTGTTCAGTGCTCATAGTTCAAGTCCTGATTGTTTAACTACTGTAATTATCGCCCGTTGCTCGTTACGCTGTTGGCTTCTCTGTGTTGCTGGGCAGCAGCAGTCCACGGAGCAATCACGTGATCAGGGAGGGGTGATCACACCTCGCCTGGAGTAGTCTGTATGGGCCTCTCAGTCTCTTGTCTGTTGGACGTTCTCCTAACAAGACATCCCACACTCCTCTCCCTTGTGGGCCCTTCTTGGAGGATCGTCTCTGTCGCTTTCTTGTTGTTGGTTCTGTGGAACTCTGTTCACAGAACTTTGTCTAGACTTAGTGATTTTCGACGTTGTACTGAGGTTGTGTGTCGCATAGACACTCTGAGCAACTCAGGTCCTGAGCTGTAGCTTCTGACCTAATTTGTATTGGTATATGTGTACTGTCACAGTCAGGGATTTTCTTATGCTGAACTTAGATTCAGTAGTATGGGAGTTTTGTGACTTTTGTGGAGGATCTGCAGATGGTCTCCTACTTAGTGTCGTTATATTATCTCCTTGTTCCTGATTCTGTGTCGCTGTTGCTTGTTATATTGCTGTTTGGCTTAACAGTTGCTTTATTGTTCAAGCAAGCTGTTCTGATTGCCAGGTTCGTCAAGAAGTTAGTTTATGTGAGGACTTTGTCAGTCACTGGTTAAATCTAGTCGAGTCTTGTGACATAGCGAACTATTTAGAGCACTTACACACAAACTTACTTGTATATATATGTATTATGTTATTAAATGTTAACAATGTACCAGACGGTACCTAAAAGCCATGAAGATGTGATATGAGCCTTCAGCACTATACTACTGTACACGAGAGAAGTGTAGGAGCTTGTATCCTACATTATATTCAATTGATTAATTTAATTTGATAATATATGCCTAGACAATTGTTATAAATAAACTTATTAAATTTTAATTTCTTTAGTTAGTAGCCTACCAGTTGTAATCCTGAAGCACTATTGAATCTTACTGAATTCTGATGGATAATTGGACCAGGATACTGACTACTTGTTACAAAAACCCAGTAACAGGCTGGATGCTAGAAGGGCAGTCCTTTCTAGTATTCACTGGAGATCTCTATGCTTATTAGAAATCGCGTTTTTTTGTAACAAAGGGTAAAAAAGAAGACTATGTATATTATTGCTTTAGGCATCAAACTGGATATTTTACAGGCATTTAGAGGAGGAGAAAAGGTTTATGATATCAACAGTTGTCAGTCTAGCTTCTTCAGATACACTTATGATCTGTGAGCAAGATGCTAAATATATCTGCCATGCTGTGACTATGATGATTACATGCTAGTTTTATTTCCCTTCATTAGTGCTAATCACCATACACATTACAGAACATTTTCACTCCTAGCCATCACATCTAACATTACATTTTCCAGAAAATATTTGGAGGTGGCTAAAAACTGGGTAGTTTACATCTGTATTGCAAGTTGGATAAGGTGGAAGAATGCAGACACTTGCCTTTTGCCACTTCACTGTTCACAAAAACTGTACAAACATGGTATGTAGAAACCTGATTTATATTTGGTGAGTGTTACAGGTACAGAGTGAAATTTGGTAAAAATTAATTAAAGGATTTGTGCCACAATATTTTTAAGTAAATACAGTATAGGGCCATACATTTTTCCACTGGAACTGATTTTGTTTGGAGGGGGCAAAACTTTTTACCCAGAGATTTTAATTCTTCACAGGACATTGACTCACCCTATCTTCTCTGGTAACAACCCTAATCATTTAATGGGGTTTGCTGGTACTGTACATGAAAATTAGCAAAAACCTCCCATCACAGAAAATTTACACTAACACAAATTAGTTGTGATGTAATCCACAATTACTATAAAGCAAAACAGATGGTAAAACAAATATGGGTATACTATATTGGCACTCTCAGACACAGGGTGCCCACAGCTTGTCAAGGTTCCTCTAACCAACAGCAAAGCTACATCCATAAAGTCACCCGTCCAGTTAGTGGCCAGCCACAAGTGTTTAGCTTGACTGACCAAGCAACACATGCACAGCATCAGCAATGTTTAAGATTGCATTCAGCAAAACAAAATCATTAAGCATTAAAACATTCAGCAAAACAAAATCATTAAGTATTAAAACAAAAATTGTTACAGACGTGGCCACTAGTGACTAAGTTGCCCCAAAACAAAATCCAGAGAACTAAAAATAAAAAATAAGAGGAAAACATCTGAAGTAATTCATGGTGGGGATAACTGGTCTGTACCTGAGTAGCATCCTTATGAATGGCTCTGCGCCAATGGTCCAGATCATGCTGCTCAAGAGGATTACCAGGTAAGTGGCTCGAGAACAATATACCACTCTCTTCAAGAGTTTCCCGAATGGCTCCAATCCTAAACCCAACCTCCGGTAAGATACTGTCAGGTGCTTTGTTTGCATAGAATTCTGGTAGGGGTGATGGATTCCTGTTGAAATGTTGAATAAAATAAAAATCTATGACAAAATAATTGTATACCCTATGAAACCCACCTTTTTATAAGCACAATACTTTATAAACAGGAGCAAGGGGCTAGTAACCCCTTCTCCTGTATATACAGTGGAACCTCAAATTTAAAACTTAATCCGTTCCAGGAGCTAGTTCTAAATTCGAAAAGTCTGAAAATCGAAGCAATATTTCCCATAAGAGATAATGGAAATACAATTAATCCGTTCCAGAAACCCAAAAATATTCACACAAAAAATACATTTTATAGAGATTAATTACAGTTTTACATACACACAACAAATACTATAGTGTTTAATTATGTATACAAATATAAAAGAACATTACCTTACCTTACTTACCTTTATTGAAGATTGGTGATGGCATCTGGAAGACAGGGAAGAGGAGAGAGGGAGTTGGGGTTAGTGTTTGGAAGGAGAATCCCCCTCCATGAGGACTTCAGGTAAAGCCCTCTCTGGGGTCACTTACCTTCTCTGTCTTTTAATGCCACTAGGACCAGCTTGAGAGTCACTGGACCCCTGTCTCACAAAACAACTGTCCACAGTCCTGTTTCTGGCACCTCTTTAACATTTCCCTAAAATGGGACATGGTTCTGTCACTGAACCTGTTGCAAAGATGGCTTGTTTCAGCTTGCTCAGGGTGGTACTTCTCCACAAACATTTGGACATCATTCCACTTCTGTATTATTTCCTTCTTCACATCTATGGTGTTTCTCACTTTCTTTACCACAGAAGTACCACTAGCAAGTTTCTTTGGGTCCATGGTAGCTTATTTCACAGTCCCACAAGCACTAAACACAGTGAAATAATCGTAAAATGTTTGAATGAGAGCACAGGTTAGTGTTCACTCAAGAATAAACAAAGCCAGACTGGCTCACAGCGCCTGCGCAGGGACGCGGACAGAGCGGGCTGGCGGACAGGTCCGGTACCCGGGGGTCCGAAAATTGGGGCGCGTTCGATAATAGGGACAAAGTTGGTTCGAAAAAAGGGTTCTACTTTTGAAACGTTCGATATGTGATAGGTTTGAATTTTGAGGTTCCACTGTATTATTAAATTTAAAAGGCAAAACTTTTGTTTTTCCTTTTGGGCCACCCCACCTCAGTGGGATACAGCTGGTACGTTGAAAGAAGAAGAAGAATACTTTATAAAATAAAATACTGAATAAGAGGAAGCATGCTGAGGGCAACTTTTACCTAATCTGTCCATAATTTAAATCAAAGCATTGTAAAAAGTGCAGAATTAAGCTAAGCATGGTACAGTACAATTTACATATAACCTTAGGCAAAATAAATAGCAACTGCTTACAGAAGGCTCTGTAAATTATCTGTTATGTTTTACTATTTACTGTTGCTAATAATTCCTCAACATATTACAGAGGGGTACATACACCAAGAGCTTACACTTTAGGATGGGGGTATCCAACATGTAGCCCACAGGCCACACTAGGCCTAACTTCCTGTCAACTTCACAACTTCCTCATCACTATTAAAAAATCTTTATTTTTTAATAACAGGTTATACTTCAACACTCTTACAAGTAAAATAATTACTGCAACACATGGATTTTTGATCATATGGCCTATTACTGAAAAAACTTGAACACTGTTGTCTTAAATTAAAGTATCCTTAATGTTAGCCTCTAAAACTTAAATTCTTCTCTACAGTAGGGATTAATCTTAAAAACATTCCAGAGGCTTAAACCAACATCAGTAGCTATTTGCAGGAAATTATCTTAACTCCTTCTACTTGGCTCCTACCATGGTCACAGAAATAACATTAATCATTTACCCACACTACACATATAGGATTTGTATCTGGAGTCCACTTCAGCAATCCACCTCAGACTAATCATCACCCAACAAAAGACAGCTAATGGAGTCATCACCTGAGAGGTAACACACTATGCTCTTCTAAATATAAATGCCAATCACACATACTACTGTTTATTCCATATCCTTAAGAGTACTACACTGCAATACTGATTTGACTTAAGATATTTCCATGAAAATCGTAGAACACATAGGCATTAAACTAGAAACAAAGGCCTCTGATATCCCTTATGCTCATTTGAACATCTACAGAAATTCTATGAAAATTAAAGGGCAAAAATCGTGGAATAAATTATTAGACAAATTAGAAAACTGCAGCATGCTAGTATTTAACCCTTTCAGGGTTCAGAGGCCAAATTTCAAAGTGTGCACCAGTGTCCAAGAATTTTCAAAAAATAATTTTGTTATTTTTTTCTTGTGAAATGGAAGAGAACCTTTTTCTGAAGGTAATGAAACAAAAAGTATGAAATTTGATGGAAAATTGACGAAATTATGCTCTCGCAATTTTCAAGTGTCAGCGATATTTACGCATCGGTGACTTTGCCGGCTTTGACTCTCATTTTAGGCCAATTACATTATTCCAGTCGACCAAATTCTTAGCAATTTCACTAGTGTTACTTCTATTCTATCGATTGAGCACAAGAATTCGCCAAGTCAACTGTTTCAACTACAAAATGAAGTGATCGGAAATTGGTAATTTGGCCAATTTAATGCAAAGTTCAAAATACTCCAATTTCAAAATAGGGTCCAGAATAAACAATGCAGGCGTCCCTGGCACTAAACTAACATTTCCTCTGTTCATTAGTTACATTTTCAGGCTTTACTAATGAATTCCATTTTGATTTTTTATTCACATAATGAATTTTTATTCAAACCAAAAAATAGAAGATTTACAGTTATGCAATATTGTAATAATTGTATAAATAATATCACCACATTTGTGAACGTATAACAGACCCACCAGCAGGTGCGTATTAGACGTGTGAGGTCATTTGTTTACTCTTCAACATCGGCAAAAATTTAACATTTCCGCTACTTTGAGCTCAGTTTCAAGCCATTTCCAATACTAAAACCAATCAAAATCATCTCTATTTCTGTAATATATCTTCCATTCTATGAATTGAGACCAAGAAATCGCAAATACAACTATAAAAAATGTACAAAAAACATTGCAAAGTCGCTGTTTTAATCGAAAATTATAGTCTCAGTTTTTTTCTCATTATGCACTGTGTGCTGCAGGATTTGTTTTATGTGGTGCACACATACCACATAGATGTATTCTCTCATATCTAGGCCAACATTTACCCTCACAGCTTATCAGAGTGAGCTGAGCTCATGACATAGATCTACGGTTTGGACCCTCAACGTAAAGCCGTAGATCTACGGCACGGACCCTCAAAGGGTTAAGGAGCTGAAATCAGAACTAAAAAAAAAAAACACTTGAAATTAAGCTAATCATAAAATTACAGTGGACCCTCAACCAGCGATATTAATCCGTTCCTGAGAGCTCATCGTTAGTCAAAATTATCGTTAGTCAAGTTAATTTTCCCCATAAGAAATAATGGAAATCAAATTAATCCGTGCATGACACCCAAAAGTATTGAAAAAAAAATTTTTACCACATGAAATATTAATTTTAATACACACAAACTGAAGATTACATGCACAGTTACATGACACTTACCTTTATTGAAGATCTGGTGATGATTGATGGGATGGAGGAGGGGAGAGCGTTGATCTTCTTAGTGTTTAGAAGGGGAATCCCCTTCCATTAGCACTTGAGGCAGCAAGTCTTTTTCTGGGGTTACTTCCCTTGTTCTTTTAATGCCACTAGGACCAGCTTCAGAGTCACTGGACTTCTGTCGCACAACATATCTGTCCATAGAGGCCTGTACCTCTCGTTCCTTTATCCTAAAGCGTTTCACAACATTGTCAGTGTAATAGTCACCAGCACGGCTTGCAATAGCTGTGTGAGGGTGATTTTCATCAAAAAAGGTTTGCACTTTAAGCCACATTGCACACATTTCCTTAATCTTTGAAGTAGGCAACTTCGACAATTTCTCTCTCCCCTCCTCCGAAGCAGTTTCCTCAGGTGTGGCCTCTTACTGTTGAAGATGATCTAGCAGCTCATCAGTGGTTTGTTCTTCATTGTCCTCCTCCACCAGCTCTTCCACATCCTCCCCACTAACCTCACCAATATGAGCACTAGTTCCAGGCATTTTTTCCTGTTCACCTGGGTGTTAGTCAACTGTTGTGGGTCGCATCCTGGGGGACAAGATTAAGGACCCCCAATGGAAATAAGTTAGACAGTCCTCGATGATGCACTGACTTTCTTGGGTTATCCTGGGTGGCTAACCCTCCGGGGTTAATCGTTTCTCGGTAATTGTTTCATGTTAAGCCACACCAACAACACTCTCTCCACATCTTCGAGTAATACAGCTGATGGTGGTGCAGCAACAGTAACAGCTGACTGTGGTGCAGCAGCAGCTGCACCTTTGGCAAGAACAGCTTCCTTGATTGCCGTTTTCTTACCCACAATAGTAGCGATGGTTGATTGGGGTTTATTATACAACCTGACCAGCTCAGAGACACGCACTCCACTTTCATACTTAGCAATGATCTCTTTCTTCATCTCCATAGTAATTCTCACCCTTTTTGCTGTAGGGTTGGCACTAGAAGCTTTCTTGGGGCCCATGGTGATTTATTTTGCAGGTGCAATCACTACAAAGGCTGTGATAATATGAAATGTTCCAGTTGTTGTATGTTTGGAAGCGACCGCGGTGGCTGGCTGGCTTGTAAACACTGGCACCGAAGGGACAAGTGAGGCGTGCTCAGGCCAAAGTGGATGCGTATGGTATGGAACGAATAGTGCTGGTCGGGTTTTTAAGCGCTAGTTGAGGCAAAATTTTTGCGTTAAAATGTATTGCTAGTCAGATTTATCGTTAATCGATGCCATCGCTGGTTAAGGGTCCACTGTATATGTAATTCACTAAAACAATTTTCTTTAATTGCTATAGTTAAATTTTACTACTATCTTATTAAAGATACAGTGGTACCCCGAGTTTCGAACAGCTCCCAACTCGAACAATTATGTAAGTGATGAATGGTTTAGAAAACCAACAATTTGAAGAATTGAGACACTTATGCAACACATGGGAATCTTTATTGAAGAAACGTTTCGCCACACAGTGGCTTCATCAGTCCAATACAAAGTAGAAATGGGTAAGGAGAGGAGAAGTTTGAGGTAATCAGTCCCTCAACCTGGAATCGATGTGTTCAGTCCCATTTCTACTTTGTATTGGACTGATGAAGCCACTGTGTGGCGAAATGTTTCTTCAATAAAGATTCCCATGTGTTGCATAAGTGTCTCAATTCTTCAAGTGTATTTTTGTAAGTGCTTTTGTAAGTGTATTTTTGGGGGTCTGAAATGGACTAATCTAATTTACATTATTCCTTATGGGAACAAATTAGTTCTGTATCGGCACTCGAACAGCCTTCTGGAACGAATTAAGTTCATAACTTGGGGTACCACTGTACTATGAATCTATTATCTTCCCTTAAGCCTGCCTATAAGTTTTAACTGGCTATCTTTAATCTTTATTACATCATTATTACCATTGCTTTCATTCCACTGTATCATGATTTTTATCCTGCCCATCTAATTGTTAATTTAACTTCTACATATCAGTAATTAATTACTACCAGCCAGTTCATTTTGGCTTGTGAACTGTGACTAGATCTTACCTGTCAATACCTTGTACAGTACTAAACATTAAATGGCTCCACAACCATTTGAGTATTATTTATAGTAGTATTATTACATAGTGTACAGTACTACTTATCTCTTTTTTTGATCAAATGATTATTCTTCTTCTTTCAACAAACCAGCCGTATCCCACAGAAGTAGGGTGACCCGAAAAAGAAACACTTTCACCCTCACTCACTCCATCACTGTCTTGCCAATGGAGAGCTGCTACTACAGTTGAAAACTGCAGTCTTAATGACTTACTTGTAGTCTATATGTTATAAACCTAACAAACCAACACCAAACTGCACAAATGTCCATTTATCCTCATAGATTTGTTAATGTTATGGGAATAAAGTTTCATGAGTATAAAAATAAATTAAAAATATAAATGAACTGGAGGAAATGCAAATACATACAGTGCTAGGACTCTACTGTACTATATGAAAAAACACCTACCCACTGAGTACATATTATTAGTACATTTGGAAAACAATCCAGTTAAGAGGTTCAAATGTACTCTTACAAAACAGCCACTCATACCTGAATTCTTTTAATAGATCAGAAGCTGTGTACCCACATTTTTTAAATATATCAAGCCAATCTTGCGAAAAATCAGATGAATGAATTACACCACCTGCAAGCAAAAAATTTCTAGTCAAGTATTTTTGTAAAAATTTATTTAGACTGAAAAAATTATTTTCATACATAATTTGCATTACTTACTCAGTGATCACTGATATTAAACCCGTAACAGAACACAGGCACTTACCAGGAAAAACAAAAGCATTGGGCATAAAGGAGCTCTTCTGACTTCGTTTGAGAAAGAGCAGGCTGTAATCTGCATCACAAATCCCATGGGGCTAAAAATTTGAAACACAAAACAAAATATGAAATGATGTTCAAATGAGAGAGATGAGTATTATGCCAATCACTTTTGAGCGCATATTACATAATCTATAAATCCTCTTTTTTTTTTTTTTTTAAGCAGAATCTGGGGCAATAAAATTTATTTACACAAAATATGAATACATACATGTATTTAAAAAAAAAATAATTCCATACTTCCATTTAGTAGCAACTAACTAGAACAAGAAACCCCTTTTTACATTTATACCAACCATGTCATCATTTTTTATTCCAAATTTAATCACAGGCAATCAAGAGACACAACAGTCTGTGCAGGAACCAGTGAGCTGCTGATTCTTAAAGAAAGTTCAGTGTACCTACTTCTCTCCTTCCTGTTTCCACAGAGACAATAATTTCAAATACTCTCATTAAAACCTTATAGAAGTACAAATTCATATAAATATAGGCATGGAAAACTCCAAAAATAGTCAACAAGAAGGAATATTCAGTAAATTTAATTTCAACAGTCAGACATTCCTTGGGAAAGTTCTGAGCACCCTAAACCCACATCAGTGAATGGAAAAGTTGAAAAGAGAGGCATACAAAGTCTATATGAAATATGTACTATGAGAAAGCCTATAAGATCAAACATAGAAAGAGAATGTAGAAAGAGAATGTACAGGAGAAAAAAAGGTACTGAATTGTATAAACAAGAATGTCACAATAAAGGAAGGATAATCTTCAAGATATTAATAATACATATAGGGAGGTATTACTGTCCTGCCAAGTGAGTGTAAAACAAGCCTGTATTTGTTTTACATGATGGTAGGATTACTGGTGTCTTTTTTTCTGTCTCATAAACATGCAAGATTTCAGGTACGTCTTGCTACTTCTACTTACACTTAGGTCACACTACACATACATGTACAAGCATATATATACACACCCCTCTGGGTTTTCTTCTATTTTCTTTCTATTTCTTGTTCTTGTTTATTTCCTATCTCCATGGGGAAGTAGAACAGAATTCTTCCTCCGTAAGCCATGCGTGTTGTAAGAGGCGACTAAAATGCCGGGAGCAAGGGGCTAGTAACCCCTTCTCCTGTATAAATTACTAAATTTAAAAAGAGAAACTTACGACTTACGACCTGCTCGACTTACGACCACTCGACTTACGACCGTGTTTTTTATGCCAAATTTCTGGGAAATAAACAACTATTTGTGTTGTACACAGTGTTTATCTTAAACCTTACAGTATAAAATACAGTACTAACAACATAAAAAGTACAGTAAAACATGAAATAACAAAATAAAACAATAAAATAAAGTCATTACAAAAATGTTTTGTTGATATTCAGTAGTAAAGTTCAACTTACGATCATTTCGACTTACGGCCAGTTTCTCGGAACCGAACTCGGTCGTAAGTCGGATGGTAGGTGTATATACACACACCCCTCTGGGTTTTCTTTTTTCTTACTAGTTCTTGTTCTTGTTTATTTCCTCTTATCTCCATGGGGAAGTGGAACAGAATTCTTCCTCTGTAAGCCATGCGTATTGTAAGAGGCAACTAAAATGCCGGAAGCAAGGGGCTGGTAACCCCTTCTCCTGTATAAATTACTAAATTTAAAAAGAGAAACTTTCGTTTTTCTTTTTGGGCCACCCTGCCTCGGTGGGATACGGCCGGTTTGTTGAAAGAAAGAAAGAAGATTAACAATATAGAGCAGAAACTTAAAAATTCAAGAAAGACAGAAGCACAAAGGAAACAAAATGCCTTCCAGGAAACTAAAAAAAAAAAAAATCTACATATTGTATACAGTCTCTCCTCACTTAACAATGGAGTTCCATTCCTAAGACCTCATCGGTTAACAAATTCGTTGCTGAGGAGCATACTATAATGGTGCTGGGTTTGTGTCAACCATTCCTTGGTATTGTTGTAATGTCACCTTTGCACCATTTATAACATTTCTGGTATATTTTTAAATGTTTATACAGTTGTATTTTGTAATAAACAGAATAAAGGAAATCAGCTCTAATATACATTATTTAGGTATGCATACTGGTCAGAGAGCCCACTGTTAAGTCCAAATCGTCAGTAAACGAGTACGTCGCTAAGTGAGGAGAGGCTGTATGTAAAATTCAATAAACTTTGAAGAATTGGCCCATTAACCCCAGGAGGGTCATATAAGGACAATGAAAAAGAATTTGAAATTTTAATAAGGACAATGAAAAAGAATTTGAAATTTTAAAAGACCAGCATGAATTAATGTTCAGTGAGCCACTAATAAGTCATATTAGATATGTAAGCACAGACTAAAATTCTAAAAGGAAATAAAAAACATCCCCACTTAAGCAGCACCTGGACTGGATTTATAGATTTAATTATTTACAAAGAAATGCACTCAGTATCCTTTGGGAAAGGAGCTTTGATCTTGGTGAAATCCCAGAGCACTTAAAAAGTGCAGATATAGCTCCTCTGCCCAAAAGCAGCAGTAGAACACAGGCAAAAAAATTACAGACCAGAAGTACTAACATGATGCATCATAAAAATCTTTGAAAGGGTGATGAGATACCAAATTAAAAACTATGGAAAAGCCTAACCTACACAACCTGAAAGAGCATGGATTTATAGCAAGAAGATCATACTTTCTACAACTACTAAACCATTATGACAAAATCAAAGAGGTACTGGGGAAAAAAAAATGAGAATGTGGTTTGCACAAATTCTGCAAAGGCATTTGACAGATGTAATCATGGAGTAATAGTACATAGAATGAGGTCAATAGATATAATAGGAAAAGTAGGCAATAGATATAATAGGAAAAGTAGATATTAGATTTTCTAATGAACAGAATACAAAGGGCTGTAGTAAATGAAAACAAAATCTAGCCTTAACAAAATAAACCCCAAGGCACAGTCCTGGCACCTTACTGCTTCTCATCCTCAAAGCATATATCAATAAAAGCACTAGCTACAGCTTTGTATCACTTGTGGAAAATACAAAAAAAGCATGAAAGGTGTCTCAGTAGATAACATGGGAAAAATTGTAAGGGGATATAAGCAATTTTTTCCAGTGAGCAGCAGATAATTGGTGACAAATTGCAAATGATCACACACTGTAAGAGTGGAGAACTCAAAAGGGGGCACCATACATAAAAGATAAAAAGACCACTTAATAATATGAAAGAACATGTGAAAGATCTGGGAGTAATAATGTCAGATGATCTAATTTTTAGTGAATAATACAGCAAATGTCACGAAAGCTAAGAGAATAACAGGGTGGCTAATAAAAACTTTCAAAACAAGGGAAATGATGCCAGTGATGATGCTATTCAAATCACTTGTGCTCTCTTTCTCTCTCTTAGATAATAGTACTTTTTAGTGGTGATGGCTCCGTTCAGGGCAGGGGAGATATCAGAACTGGAATAGATACAAAGAACATTTTGTAAATGGTATACAATACTGTACTAACAAGTGATACAGGGTTAAATGCCTGAATTCAAAGTAACTGAATTGTTCTGAATGCCTCAAAGTACTGAATGTGTACTCTATGAAGCAGAGGAGAAAGATAAAGTGTAATTTATACATGGAAGATAATTGAGGGCCTAGTTCCAAACCTGTACATAAACAATGCACTAGAGTAAAAATTATGGGAAGAAGTGTAAAATAATCCTAGTGAAAAACAGGCCCACTATGGGCACAATAAGAGAACACTATCAGCATCTGTGGACAACGACTATTCATTGTGTTACCAGGTGTTTCCTATTCCTGCTGGTGTTTTCTATTCCTGCAGCCCAGCCTGGGGCTGGGCTGGAGGAATAGGAAGACTCAAAACTGGTCACAGGTATACATACACATATACTACATACTATACTACCAATACTTGAAGGTTATATGTTAAAACTCAAGAAAGCCTCTCGGCTTAAATTCAGATTCAAATTCATATTTTATGGAATGATAAAGTCATTCCCTTTTAATAAATGCTGTACTGTACTGCATTCTCTACTGCATTCACACCTATGACACCATTACCAACAGATCACATGGAAGGACCTTAACACTTGAAGGTGTGCTTCCAACAATAATAAGGGACGCTGCTTCTCGCCAGAACCTGCCAGCCATGGTATCTGTTGTTCAGACTTGCATCAAACCTAAAAAAAAAAAAAAGTAAATCGCATCAATAATGTACTGTTATTCTTAAAGGTGATGCTATAAAGTGGCTAGTCAATTCAAACAGCAGTTAGCACTATCTTAAAACTGCAGTGTTTTACAGATTCTACACATGAATTCCTGGTGTGATACTTATATAGACAAGATCAAGATCATATGAAGTACAAAAGTGTGTAAAAAATATTTATTGTTTGCCTGTTACCACCAATTAAAATGACCATTTCTCTTTGTGATAAGTGTTCTAATGATGGATTGACTCAGTGGGCTGCCTGAGCGATGGACTATCTCAGGAATACAGTAGACAATTGATAGAACCAGATAGCATCAGCTTATTAAATGAGGGTTATACATCTGGTTCACATGACTACATTTAATGATCAACAGCAGAAGTTTCACCATGACACCAAGTACTGTGGCACATCAGAGAGGTAATACATGAACATCAGTACAGTGTGAAAAACATAGTTCTGCTTCCAGACTTTAAGGTAGCAAAAAATGTTTTCTTGACAACAGAGGAAGTGAAAATAAGGATACAAGACCTGCTTATAAAGATAATCAAATTCATGGATGATTAATGACTCCTATTAATGAATAGGGGAACAGAGAGAGGGGGTACTGGTTTTGAGTACTAGGGGTTGAGCAGTCAACAGGCTTGTCTGTTAGATCAGAGTGAAAAAAATGTAGTTTGTATGGCTTGATATGCCGTTGGAAAGTGAACAAAGTAACATTTATGAAAGGATTCAGGAAAGCTGGTTATAAAAGCAAGTGTTCAGGCCTCAAACACCTACTACACAGCAATAAAAGTGGAACAGGCTGCCTGACCAGGTCAAGACCAGTCTCAGCACAGGCCAGTTGAGGAAAAAAACTAAAAAGTACCTAATGAGTGAAGCCACAGAAAAGGAGAAATATGATTTCTTTAAGTTAATATTCACTTATCTGTTAGATTCAACTGATTTTCTTTCTTTGTGATGCTCATCTAATTCTTGGTCATGTATTTGATTTACTCAGTTTATTTGCATTTGTGTTTTTTTTTATTATTAACAATTATGACAGACTTTTACTGTACCTAATAACTAGGTTACTAAGCATAAGGAAGCACAAGGACCCCAGTTGTAATATCGCTGACTTTTTTGAGTTATCTTAGGCAATTTACACATGCTACTATGCAAGACAATTATAAATTATCAAAAACTGTGTAAATTATACTGAAATAAAGTGACTAAATAAAATATAAAACATTGCAAATCTGTTCATTTACCTAAATTGACTGATTTTATATTTATACCAATCACTGGAAAGGTTGGGTGTATTTTCTTACCCCTATTGACCTAGCAGTTAGTTTTGCAGGTATCTAATCTTACATGGATGTTAGCTGCCCAGAATGGGTTGCATCCTGGGGTTGAGAGTTAAGGGACCACAATGGAAGTAAGTTGACAGTGTCTTATAACATTCGCTTTGTTGAGTTATCCTGGTTTACAAACCCTCTAGGTTAATAATGCGAATAAAATATTTAGCAAGTCTATTTATAGTACAATGCTGAAAATTCATAACTTACAATATAAAAAAAAAATCCAAGGCAGGTAGCACTGTCCTCATACAAACTCTTTACTGGGTTATAATAAATTAAATCTACATACATAATGTACTATCTATGTGCATTTAAGACTACTGTAAAAATTAAAACTTAAGTATAAAACCCAAGTGTAAGGCTAAAAAAAGGAAAAGATAAAAAAAATTAATCTTTTACTACATTGGGCTACCCTAGGTCATATTTATATATGACAACAACAACAACAACAACAACAATAATAATAATAATAATAATAATAATAATAATAATAATAATAATAATAATAATAATAATAATAATAATAATAATAATAATAATAATAATAATAATAATAATAATAATAATGGATGGGTGAGTTTATTCAGGAACAGGTACAGCTGTATGACCTTTGTAGGTCTAGCGCTTTTTTTATTATAATAATAATAAGTACATAAGTACAATTATCATACATAGTGTAAATTACCCAGGATAACCCTACAAAAAAGTCAGTAACTTATTTCCACTGGAATGAGGACAAACATCACTGTAACAGTGATCCCAGTGGAAATAAGTCACTATGACTTTTTTTTTGTATTATCCTGGTGGATAATTTACATATATGTTACTATGTATGATAACTGTAATCACCTAAATGTCTATAACTGTACTTATGTGTACGAGTACTTAAATACTTGCTTATATGTACCAACAAGTAGATGAATAAGACTCATGTATCTTATCCATCAATTTGGTATCATCTTCATGATGATGATGACTCTGTATAACATTAATAAAAAACTGTTATGTAGGTGTTGTACATGTATTTTATTCAGAAGTAAAAGTAAGTAAGTTTATTCAGGAATTCACAAATACTTACATAGATTGACTTAAGAAATCGTAATGACACGATTGCAAATAACGCGACGGGCTGGAGTTTTGAGACTCTATGACCGCGGGTTCAATCCCGGCCGGGGGTATGGTTTACTTACATAGATTATCATAAACCTAAGACCCAATCTAAATTTGTTATTTTTTAAATACACTACCTAACAGAATACTACAGCAATGCAAGCAATCATATGACCTGTCTTTGTAATACTCATTTGTGCTTTATTTATCTGTTTACAATAATGTTTTATCACTGATTACATCATTGCTTAGTTAATCTTAAGTTAATTTTAAGCCAACCCGTAATGCTCTGCATACAAGTGGCTTTGGTATGCTGCTCTTACCTGTATTTTTTGTACCTCTGTATTTATGTTCACCCCTCAAGGAAGGCTCCTTGACGCTGGTGAGGGGCTCTTGATCTAGGGAATTGGATCTGTGCTCCAGTTCCCTGAATTAAGCCTGAATGCCTTCCATCCCCCCATAGGCGCTGTATAATCCTACGGGTTTAGTGCTTCCCCCTTGATTATAATAATAATAATAATGTATTTATGTTCAAATTATTAAATAAATAAATAAATAAATAAATACATTACAGCACATGTATAGACAACCTAGGATTACCCCCCCAAAAAAGTCAGTGATTTATTTCACTTTGGTTTCTTGGGGATATATAAAGTGACTTACTGTCTCCAAGTACTGGATGACAACCCAAAGTTGTATGATACTTACTTCCATCAACACATATACAACTTTCCAGATATTATTTTAATTTCCTTATATTATTTTAATTTCCAGAAAGCACAGTACTCCAAGGACCTCAATGGACTTTTTTTTGGGTTATCTTAGGTAATCTACACATATGCTTCTATATATGATTATTTATGTAATTGCGTCTATGTGTACTTGTACCTGAATAAACTTACAGGGTTAATGAGTACCTATGCCTAAATAAATTTATACAACTGTTACAAAATTAATCTAATTCGCCGTTCGTGTAAAAAAAAAAGTGCTTCTGGATTTCTTAAAAAAAAAATTAAAATAAATCCGGATGGATACGAACGAAGTCGCCTGATAGTTGTTCATTAGTAGTGGTGAGGTTGTGGTTTCTTTATCTACTGTTATATATACTCCCAGTAAGATATTCCTCTCTCCTGCCTTACATAGTCACCACCTGGCGAGTTACTCTCATTATAGTGTTATTAATCACTTGTCATCGTTCCTGACAAGAGTGAACGCCATTATTTTTTTTTTTTTTAGTTTATTTAAATTTGTGGAGGAATGGCGTAGCTAGTCTTGTTAATTTTTATTTATTTCAAATGTACTCTCATTCCTTCAACCCCCTCCAGGGAGGTTCCTTGATGCTAGGAAGGAGCTCTTGATCCAAGGAATTGAACCTGCTGTATGAAATGTAATAATGTTAATCGTATTGGTTTTAAGGGAGTTCATTGATGACGGTGATAAATTAGACACATGTGAAACTCTTGGGTATCTTTATTGAGGAAACGTTTCGCCACACAGTGGCTTCTTCAGTTCATACAAAGGATAAACTTGAAGAACAGGAGGTTCTTCAAGTTTATCCTTAGTATGGACTGATGAAGCCACTGTGTGGCGAAACGTTTCCTCAATAAAGATACCCAAGAGTTTCACATGTGTAATTTAACAACGTGTCGGTTCTTTGAACCATTCATCTACAATTGATGTCGGTAAAATAGTCTTAATCCAGATAATTTGGGGCTATTCTCCGGATTGAATCTGATTATCTTCCCCTCATCAAGGCTGTATAGTTTGAACATTAAAATGGTATAAAATACCGACAGGTTGTTAGGTAAGACACATATGCAACAGTTAGGTATCTTTATTGTGAAACGTTTCGCCTACACAGTAGGCTTCTTCAGTCAAGTACAGAAAAGTTGATAGAAGCAGAAGATACTTGAAGACGATGTAATCAGTCCATCACCCTTAAAGTTTTGAGGTGGTCAGTCCCTCAGTCTGGAGAAGAGCATTGTTCCATAGTCTGAAACAATATGGAGAAGAAGTGACAGGATGGAGCTTTTTATAGCGCCTAACTGTTGCATATGTGTCTTACCTAACAACCTGTCGGTATTTTATACCATTTTAATGTTCAATCTGTCAGACACTGCAACACAAGGGTATCTTGGTACAGACCTGCAATCAACTTCGACAACTTCCACTAGTGAGAGGGGCTGGATTTGAGAGGGACCTGACCACTCAACATCTGAGTTCTTACCTCTCCTAGTGGCCTACGTTTCACCTCTTGGCGCTATAAAAAGCTCCATCCTGTCACTACTTCTCCATATTGTTTCATACTATGGAACAATGCTCTTCTCCAGACTGAGGGACTGACCACCTCAAAACTTTAAGGGTGATGGACTGATTACATCGTCTTCAAGTATCTTCTGCTTCTATCAACTTTTCTGTACTTGACTGAAGAAGCCTACTGTGTAGGCGAAACGTTTCACAATAAAGATACCTAACTGTTGCATATGTGTCTTACCTAACAAGGCTGTATAGTCCTTGTGGCTTAGCGCTTCTTTTTGATTATAATAATAATAATCCCCTCATCAAGACCAAAATGACCCCCTCGGGTTTACCACTAAAACTGCTGTTCAGAATTAACTGTATAGCCCTTGTGGCTTAGCGCTTCTTTTTTATTATAATAATAATGTGAAGAATTAGACACGTGCAAAATCTGGGTATCTGTTTCTAGACGTTTCGCCATCCAGTGGCTTCATCAATACAAATTAAAGGTTGAGACACTTGTGTAACATATGGGAATCTTTATTAAGATTCTTATATGTTGCGCAAGTGTCTCAATCTTCAACTTGTCGGTTTTCAAGCCATTTATCACACAAATTCAAGGTCATAATAGGAAGACTGCCTGAAATGTTCATGCATGCAAGTGGCTTTATTGTGCTTAACAATATTTTACTATATGTAAGCTACACATTGTATACTAAGCAAAGAAATAAACTTTTGAATTTAAATTTATACAAAAGAGGGGGTAATTAGCCCCCTCAGCCTTGGAGTTGGTGCTGATCAACTCCAAGTCTGAGGGACTGATTACCTCGTCTTTTGTATATAGTTCCCTCAAGGGAGGTTCCTTGATGCTGGTGAGGGGCTCTTGATCTAGGGAATTGAATCTGTGCTCCAGTTCCCTGAATTGACCCTGAATGCCTTCCATCCCCCTTCCCCCCCACATGCGCTGTGTAATCCTCAGGGTTTAGCGCTCCCCCATGATTATAATAATTTTGTATATACTTCTGCAGTCTTTCCATTGTTTTTTTAATTTATATTGATACAGCCACTTGGTGAAATGTCTACTAATCAAGATACCCAGATGTTGCACATGTGTCTAATTCTTTATCTTGTGGGTATTGTATGCCATTCATGCATAAGATTATTTATTTATTTATTTATTTATTTATTTATTAACAATTTGAGCACACATACAGAGGTACAAAAAAAAAACAGATAAGAGCAGCATGCCAAAGCCACTTATACTATGCATAGCATTACAGGCTGGCTTAAAATTAACTTAAGATTAACTAAGCAATGATGAAATCAGTGATAAAACATTAATGTAAACAGATTACTATAAAGCACAAGTGAGTATTACAAAGACAGGTCATATGATTGCATGCATTGTTGTACATTCAGTCATATGAAGTATTCTGTTAGGTAGTGTATTTAAAAAATAATAAAGTTAGATTCGGTTTTAGGTTTAACATTTATGTGCAAAGAATAATAATTGTGGTTGATCTAGGAAGTATAGTTCAATTTCCTCATCTAGTCTGGTGGTGTAAGTTTATTCAGGTATAGGTACACATAAATACAGTTAAATAAATTATCATATATAGCAGCATATGTGTAGATTACCTAGGATAACCCAAAAAAGTCGAAGTGACTTATTTCCATGGGGGTTCAGAAATATATTCACATGTAGTGCTGAGCCTGGAAGGATCATTCAGCTTTGCATACTAGAGGTAAAAATGGTAGGCCTAGGTGAGTTGCCAGAGGTAAATATAGTAGATGGGTTGCTAGAGGTAAATACAGTAAGCCTAAGTGGGGTGCCAGAGGTATATAGGGTTGGGTAGCCAGAGGTAAATATGGTAGGTCTAGGTGGGTTGCCAGAGGTAAATATGGCAGGGGTGGGTTGCCGGAGGTAAATATGATAGGGGTGGGTTACCAGAGGTGAAGATGTTAGACGTGGGTTGTTAGAATAAATATAGTAGGAGTGGGTTGCCAGAGGTAAATATAGTAGGGGTGATATAGTAATGGTACGAATGAGAGTAGGTAAGACCCTTGTGGGGTGAGTGGGAAAGACAGGACAGGCGAAGAATAGTGTTGGAGAGAGTGCCAGGGCTAAACCCAGCAGCTAAGCACTCGTGGGGTGATGTGGAGAACAGCAGCAGGAAGAACAGGCTGTGCTGGCAGCAGACAGTGGTACACTGGAGGGTAGCAGGATTGGTCGCAGGAGAGGGCAGGTTGCTTGTAGATGTTATCTCTACTGATAATTAAGGTGGGTTTATTGAAGAGCCATTTTCATACTTGCAGTTGCTTCTTGAGAGATAGTACAATTGTGTTTTATTTCCAAACGTGAATTTGTGTGGTTTGATGAACTTAAGTATTTGTTATAGTGTGAAGTGATGTGGTGACATACAGGCAAACTTGACAGTCCCAGCACTGAGCTCTCATTAGATGGGAATGTGTAGAAGGCTAGGTTGTCAGCAGTTGGAGATGATACAAGAACAATCAAACCAAGGTACAGGTGGGGATTTACCTCACAGCAAGTTGTAAATGTTGGACAGGACAGTAACCATGCCACATATAAACTAAATAATGTAGATCTTAATATTACGGATTGCGAAAAAGATTTAGGAATTCTGGTTAGCAGTAATCTGAAACCAAGACAACAGTGCAAAAGTGTTCGCAATAAAGCTAATAGAATCCTTGGCTTCATATCAAGAAGCTTAAATAATAGGAGTCCTCAGGTTGTTCTTCAACTCTATACATCCTTGGTTAGGCCTCATTTAGATTATGCTGCACAGTTTTGGTCACTGTATTACAGAATGGATATAAATGCTCTGGAAAATGTACAAAGGAGGATGACAAAGTTGATCCCATGTATCAGAAACCTTCCCTATGAGGATAGACTAAGGGCCTTGAATCTGCATTCTCTAGAAAGATGTAGAATTAGGGGGGATATGATTGAGGTGTATAAATGGAAGACAGGAATAAATAAAGGGGATGTAAATAGTGTGCTGAAAATATCTTGCCTAGCCAGGACTCGCAGCAATGGTTTTAAGTTGGAAAAATTCAGATTCAGGAAGGATATAGGAAAGTACTGGTTTGGTAATAGAGTTGTGGATGAGTGGAACAAACTCCAAGTACAGTGATAGAGGCCAGAACGTTGTGTAGCTTTAAAAATAGGTTGGATAAATACATGAGTGGATGTGGGTGGGTGTGAGTTGGACCTGATAGCTTGTGCTACCAGGTCGGTTGCCGTGTTCCTCCCTTAAGTCAGTGTGACCTGACCTGACTGGGTTGGGTGCATTGGCTTAAGCCGGTAGGAGACTTGGACCTGCCTCGCATGCGCCAGTAGGCCTGCTGCAGTGTTCCTTCGCTCTTATGTTCTTATGTTCTTTAGTAGGAGTACTGGAGTGGTTATCTTCGTTGTCTTCCTCAGAAGAGGATTCTGTGGGTGAGTCTTCATAGATACTGACAGGTGGTTGAGATTCATCAGTAGCAGTGATGAGATGTGTTGATGGGTTGTCGGTTGACTGGGAGACTAGGGAGGCATTGGTTGAATTGTCGTTGGTGGTGGAAGTCCTGTCAGCAGTTGGAGATGATACAAGAACAATCAAACCAAGGTACAGGTGGGGATTTACCTCACAGCAAGTGAGTTGTAAAACTCCTGGCCAATGCATAAGCCACTGGGCCAGCTGGCTACAATAAGATTCATTCAACTAGATATATTTATACACCATAGGGAGGTTAGCATGGGTCCCACTGTGACCACTGCTGACCTTTCTATGCTGTATAAATATACCTAATTGGATGAATCTTATTGTAGCCAACTGGCCTGAAGTTTTACGACTGACGTGCTGCGAGGTCAATCCCCACCCATACTGTGGTTTGTTTGCAATTGTGTCATTACGATTTTGTGAGTCATGGTACAGGAACAATGTCTTGGGCAGAGGAAGGTGACAGGTCTGCAGGTGCAGTGAAGTTCACAACGTTGGAAACACATGTAATGTTGAGGTGTAGAGTCAGGGAAATTGAAGCTAGGCATGTTGTTTAGTAAGGGTGGGTTACCAGAGATAAATATAGTAGGGGTGGGTTGCCAGAGGTAAATATGGTAGGCATGGGTTGCCAGTGGTAAATATAGTAAGGGGTTGGGTGCCAGAGGTAAAGAAAGTAGGGGTGGGGTGGGTTGCTAGAAGTAAAGCTGGTAGGGGTGGGGTGCATTGCAAGAGGTAAAGATGGTAGGGGTGGGGTGTGTTGCAAGAGGTAAAGATGGTAGGGGTGGGGTGGGTTGCAAGAGGTAAAGATAGTAGAGGTGGGGTGGGTTGCAAGAGGTAAAGATGGTAGGGGTGGGGTGGATTGCAAGAGGTAATGATGGTAGGAGTGGGGTGGGTTGCCATAGGTAAATATAGTAGTGGTGACTCACGAAATCATAATGACACGATTCCAAACAAACCATACCATGGGTGGGGTTAGAACCCGCGACAATCTGGAGTTTTGAAACTCTCTGATCACGGGTTCTAACCCCGCCCATGGTATGGTTTGATAGTTGTGGTAGGGTGCCATAGGTAAATATAGTAGGGGTAGGTTGCCAAAGAGAAAAATGGTAGCGGTGGGTTGCCAGAGAGAAAGATGGTAAGGGTGGGTTGCCATAGGTAAATATAATAGTGGTTGCTAATGATAAATGTGGTAGTGGTGGTTGCCAGAGGTAAATATGGTAGCAGTGGTTGCCAGAGGTAAATCTGGTAGGGGTGGGTTGTAATAGGCAAAGATGGTAGAGGTGGAGGTAGGTGCGTTAAGATAAAAAAAAAAAACACATTAGCAGACGGTGTAGGTTCAGGTGGTGTTTAAAGGGTCAGGGTGTCAGATGACATTATGATGCAGAGTTTACAATTTCACCTTACCACTCCACCTTTTTTTTTTTTTTTACATCTAGAAAATGAATATCAGCTGTAGTTGCAAGTTGTGCAGTATACATTAGCTGCCAGTCCTGATATTATTTCTCGGATAAAAAGAACTGAATTGAGATATTGTAATAAGTGTGACTGCCCCTGTGGGTTTAGCACTACCTCATGATGGGTAATAATATTTATAAAGTAACAATATGCATACTCATCCCTGATTGCATCCCCATTTCCCAGGCACTGTATGACCATTACAGGTTTAGCACTTCCTATTGAGTAAATACTATTGCAATGACTAAATATGCAGACTTTTTTTTCCTTACCCGTTCATTATGACATCCTAACCATTGTGTAAATTATTCTATGATGGCTTTGTTAGGTTATTCTTGGTTAAATTATTATTTATAAGCTGTATGCTAATACTGTACTGTTAAATAAGTTTATTTAGGTACAGGTAAACATAAGTACAGTTACACAAATTTAGGGGATTACAATTATCATATGTACATATACCATCATGTGTAAATTACCTAGGATAACCCTAAAAAGCTAGACAGAGTGACTTATTTCCAATGGGGTCCTTGTAATATCTTATTATTTAAAGCCTAGTTGTAAGATTCAGTAGAAATCATTTATGATTATAACCTTAAAAAATTAAAACAGCAGTGTAACTCAACTGTGTTTGCAATTTTCTTAACGTGCACCCTCAGGGAAATTACAAACACATCCCTGAGGTGGTAACCCCTGAAATTGACCCTAAGTACACTAGGTGGGTGGAAAGAGAATGGCAAGTTTCTGCAGGTAGAAGGACTCTTGTCATGATTGGAGGGACTTGATGTGGATGGAAGGTAGTAAGAAGTTTTGCTCTTTGTGGATTGTTGGGAGGCTTGCTATGGGCAAAAGACAGTGGGAGTCTTGCTGTGAAAGGTAAAAGGCTATGGGAGCTTTGCTGTAGATTGATAATGGTTGTAGGATTCACTGTGTGTGGAAGGTGGTGGAAATCTCACTGTGGGTGTAAGAATTTTGAAGATGCATAATATTTACATAAATATATGAAATTTAAGGAAGTTAAGAATGAATCTGATGACTGACTTTGGACTTATTCATTATCAGAGAATGTTAGTACTGTACACACACACACGCCAGTGGCACAGTTCAAGGCTGTAGATAATCAAGAGCTTGTCACTGGATGAGTAGACTGTGTTTAGATAACTAATTTGAATTCTTATCAGTGCTGAAATGCTTTTAGAAGGTAGATGGTTATTTTTCAAGTGATATAGATATTTAACCCTTAAACTGTCCAAACGTAGATCTGCGTTTTTTCAACATTTTAAAGTACGTACTATGTAAAAAATGTAGATTTTTTTTTTTTTTTTTACATTTGAAAACGTGTGAAAAAACTGATCTATTTTTTTTTTTATATATATATATTTGAAAATATGTAAAAAAATGTAGATCTACTTTTGGAGCACTACGCATGTGAGCATAGATCTGTTTGGACAGTTTAAGGGTTAAGCAAGAATGCTGCACAGATACATAATTGAAATGAAAAATATGGGTGTGAGAGAAAAAATGACTTAAAGAATCAGAATTTCAGGAACATCTCAGTTAATATATTTTTCAATGCTTTTTATCTGCTACAAGGTAATGTTTAGATAGGGAGATAATCAAAGATAAGACCATCTCAAAATTGAAGAGGGTTAGCATTAGTGTTGTTGACCCGAGTAGACTCAGTTTGGCTTGTGTTGTGCACTGGCAGTATCTCATTTTGGCTTGTGTGACTAGGTAAATAATGTAGGTTGTGTTTGTCTATGGTGAATGTTTTTGGGTGTATTAAGAAATTCATGTATGTATGTTTGTTGAATATCAGTGAATGATGTGAAGGAAGGAATGATAGAGAAATCATAAAATAATTAATATGTGAAAATGCTACTATACTATATACAGCCTCTCCTCACTTAACGACGGAGTTCTGTTCCTAAGACCTCATCGGTAAACGAATTCATCAGTAAGTGAGGAGCATACTATAATGGTAGTGAGCTTGTATCAACCATCTTTGATATTGTTTTAATATCACCTTTGCACCATTTATAGCATTTCTGGTATATTTTTAAATGTTTATACAGTAGTGTACTGTATATTGTAATAAACAGAATAGAGGAAATCAGCTTTAACATAAATTATTTAGGTATGAATACTGGCCAAAGAGCCTGTCATAAGTCCGAGTCGTCAGTAAACGAGTACGTTGCTAAATGATGAGAAGCTGCACTGTACCATATATACAGTATTACCATTTTGGTGGATCGGACATTAATGTATCCCTGAACGTTTAGACCCCTTTTTTTTTTTTTTTTAATTAATTATGTATGCATATTTAAAATATCTGTATCTGTTCTTGCTTTTGATATTTATGGTACTGTATTTAGTATTTACCATTAATTTTCTTAAAAAGTCTCCTCATAAAATTAGCTTTAAGAATATTTTTCATATGCTATTTTTCTTTATAAGCAAAATTATCTCCTCACCAAACTTGAAACCTCATTTTTTTTTTTTTCCAGTTTAATGGTTATGTGGCGAACTGCAGCTATCATTGGTGTGACCAGTGCCCTTTGGGCAGCTGGGAAGCAAGAGTTATCCATTGGAGGTATCTTGCTGCCCAAGCTGAGTTGTCTGCAATTTTTATCTGTGGCTGCAGGCATCTACATAACCACTGGTGGCTACTACACTCTCTGGCTTGCCTACAAAACCCTTCCCAGAGACCTTGTGTTAGTGAATATCTTCTATTTGTTACTTAGCTCTTTTTATAAGAGCCAGAAAAACTCCTGTAAAATGAAATTAAAATGAACATTTATTGTACAGTAGAAAGCTACTGCATAGGACTGTAGATACAATAACACATTAATGACAAGCAAATGGTGTTTAAAACTGAGATGGTTCCAGGAAAGGACACTAAATGGGGCAAATTTAAAAGTGGTCACTGTTGAGAGGGAAAATGATTCAACCCAAAAGCAGGAATATTCTGCCTAAAATCATATACTAACCAATGTGTCATAAAAATTAGATTTTACTTTACTGTGTAATACTAAAAGCAAAGCAAACAACTTTGCTTTTAGTATTAAGGTACTACTTTATATAAAATATGTGGCAAATGTGGGTTAGAATAATGTGCATTTATACATATGTATAGAGCAATACCTTGCATGGTATGGTTAAAGCGTGTCAAAAATTACCATACTAGGCAATGCTGTACTAATCAAGGTATTATTATAATGTGTTTTAATGTAATGCATACCAACGATACAATTAAATGCATCGGATCTCAAAAATATTTAGTTGTTTGCTTAGTATAAATCAGTGCATATGAAATTCTGGTACACACTTGCAAATAAAGAAATTACAAAAGATAAAAGATAAAAGATAGTAGCACAGGTTGGCCATCACTAATCCGGCATCATTGGGACCTGTAGGGTGACGGATTAGTGATTTTGTTGAATTGCAGAGTGGTTAGGTTAGGATACACTCGACCCAACTGTGATATTTACGCATCGGTGATTTCACCCACTTTATGCCCTATTTTTGGCCCATTCCATTGTTTCAGTCTACTAAACTCGTAGGTATTTCATTAGTATTCCTTCTGTTCTGTCAATTGAGTACAAGAAACCACCTATTTACCTATTTCAACTACCCAGTAAGTGGTCAGAAATTGGTAATCTGACCAATTTCACACAAATTTCAAGAGATGCCAATTTTAAACTAGGGTCCAGAATAAACAATGCAGACATTCCTGGCACTAAAATAACATTTTATTTGTTCATTAGTCATGTCTCCAGGCCCCTCTTATATTATGCTTGCTTTCCATTTTTTAATTTTTATTCACACAAAAAATAGAAGATTTAATGTTATGCAGACTACTGCATTATTGTAATAATTGTATAAATAAGGTCAACTCATTCATGACTGCGTATTAGACTGGCCAGTTGGACACACATTGGACGGTGACATCATTTGTTTGCTCTTGAACCTCAGCAAAAATCGAACACTTCCACTATTTTAAGCTCAGTTTTAAGGTACTTTCCAGCATGAAACCAATCAAAATTTTCTCTCTTTCTGCAATATATCTTCCATTCTATCAAATGAGACCAAAAAAAAAAATGAGAATACAACCATACAAACCATATGAAAATACTCCGCAAATTCGATGTTTTACACCAAAGGCATGGGCGCCGTTTTTTCTCATTATGCACTGCATACTGTAGAATTCTCACATATGTAGGCCCATATGCATCAGAAATCTTCCCTATGAGGATAGACTGAGGGCCCTGAATCTGCACTCTCTCGAAAGGCATAGAATTAAGGGGGATATGATCGAGGTACATAAATGGAAAACAGGAATAAATAAAGGGGATGTAAATAGCGTACTGAAAATTTCCATCCAAGACAGGACTCGCAGCAATGGTTTCAAGTTAGAAAAATTCAGATTCAGGAAGGATATAGGAAAGCACTGGTTTGGTAAGTGGTAAATGAATGAGTGGATCAAACTCCCGAGTACAGTTATAGAGGCTAAAACGTTGTGTAGTTTTAAAAATACGTTAGATAAATACATGAGTGGGTGTTGGTGGGTGTGAGTTGGACCTGACTAGCTTGTGCTACTAGGTCTGATGCCTTGCTCCTTCCTTAAGTGGAAGTGACCTGACTAGGTGGGTCATTGGGCTAATCCGGGGGGGTGGGGGGGACATGGACCTGCTTCGCATGGATCAGTGGGCCTGCTGCAGTGTTCCTTCTTTCTTATGTTCTTAAATTTACAGGTCACGGCTTATCTGAGTGAGCTGAGCTCATAACAGTGGCTTCAAAGCCACCTTATCTTGTATGGACGATGTATGGTGTATGTGCTTTACACAACAAGAAACATTTCTTTTATTCTTTGGAACCATCTCTAGGGCTATAAGTGAGCAGGTTATGACAGTAAATGAAGAAAAGGAAATTGGAATGACTTATGCAGCAAGTAGCGCCACCAAATAGTAGCGGCAGGTTGGTGTGGCAACCCTGAAAATTTGAAATTATGTTAGCCGAAATTAGTGCCAGATTACAGTGGACCCTCGACCAACTATATTAATCCGTTCAAGAGAGCTTATCTTTAGGCGAATTTATTGTTAGTCAAATTAATTTTCCCATAAGAAATAATGGAAATCCAATTAATCCGTTCTCGACAGCCAAAAGTATTAAGTTTTTTTTTTTTTTTTTTTCATGAAATATACATTTACCTACAAAGAAAACAATGAGACATGCACAACAACTACATAAATAAATGTTAAAATAACACTTACCTTTATTGAAGAGTATTGATGAGTGATGAGACACTGTTTTTCTTGAACACACTGGGATTTTCAGAGTGATACATGAGTAAAGGCTTCACTTTTCATTCCCCACTAGCATTACAATAAAACATGAGAGTTAGCCTGTCTTTCATAGGCTTGTGTCCTGGAAGTGCCTTTTCCTCCTGAGTAATGTAGGTCCTGTTTGGCATTTTCTTCCAGAACAGGCCTGTTTCGTCACAATTGAACACTTGTTGGGGTTGGAATTTTTCAGCTTCACCATGCTTTATCACACTACGATTCTTAAATCTCTCAAACCAACTTTTGCTGGCCTTAAGTTCACCAATATGACCACTAGTTCCAGGCATTTTTTGCTGTTCACTTGGGTGTTAGTCGACTGGTGTGGGTCGCATCCTTGGGGACAAGATTAATTAACCATTAAACTGTCCAAACGTAGATCTACGTTTTTTCAACATTTGAAAGTATGTAAAAAAACGTAGATCTTTTTTTTCTTTACATTTGAAAAGTGTAAAAAAACTTTGATCTACGTTTTTTTTTGTTATATTTGAAAATATGTAAAAAAACGTAGATCTACTTTTGGAGCACTACGCACATGAACGTAAATCTGTTTGGACAGTTTTAAGGACAGGGTTAAGGACCCCGATGGAAATAAGTTACAGTCCTCGTTGATGCACTTACTTTCTTGGGTTATCCTGGGGGCTAACCCTCTGGGGTTAATCGTTTCTCGGTAATTGTTTCTTGTTAAGCCACACCAAAAACATACTCTCCACATCTTCGAGTAGTACAGCTGATGGTGGTGGAGCAGGAGCTGACTGTGGTATGATAGTATTTCAATAGTATTTCTCACCCTTTTTGCCACAGGGTTGGTACTAGAAGCTTTCTTTGGGCCCATGGTGGCTTGTTTAGCAGTTATAAGCACTAAAAACAATGGAATAATACAAATTTTATTGGATGTATGCGTGGAACCGTCCACCCTGGCTTGTAAACAATGACAGCAGGGCAGCTGAGGCGCTCAGGCTGGACAGACAGGTTCGGGGCAAATCATGTTGGTCGAGTTTTTCATCATTGGTCGGGCCAAAACTTTTACGCTCCAATGCTTCGTGGGTCGAATTTATTGTTAGACTATGCCGTCGTTGGCCGAGGGTCCACTGTACTGATGGAACTGGATTACTGATTACCGGATTAGTGATGGCCGACCTGTACTAGTAATATGAGGTACAGTATTCTTCTTTCATGTTGATTTTAATGTTAAATTTTTACTCTTATTTAAAATACTTTTAATGTGTATTTTTTAATTTCAGTGCTGGGTTCAGGTATCTGAAAGTGCGGTTAAAGCTCAATTGGGCCCTCTATTGCAACCATACTGTTCCAAAGCTTTTTATGGAGAATGTTAGACGGAATCCTAATAAAGTTGCACTTATATTTGAAGGTCAGAAATGGACATTTGCTCAGGTTGGTTCTGTATCCTTAAAGGTCTTTATTTGTTTTATATAGTAGATAAAATTAATAATTTTAATAGATTTCAACATGTTTTTTTAAAAACACTTAGTTAATTTTACTTATCATATTTTCACTGGTTAAAAATCTTAACCAGTGAAAATATGCTTTAATGTGTCTTCAATAAGTACTAGTATACTTGTTGATGACTGGCTCTTATTTTTACACAAGTGCTTTTTAATGGGAAGGAGTCTCTATTTGTTTAAATAATATTACTTGGTAACAAAAATATACCTTTGTATAGATGAGTTAATCATGTATTACAAATGTTTAAAAAATTATAGAATTTACAGTACTATTTGGTACTAATTACAGTATTTATATTCCTCCGTATTCTTTTGGCAGGGCTGAGTTGTAAAAAGTTACTTAGAGTGAATAGTTGACAGTGTAGGATTTTAAATTTCATGTTGAGTATATATAAGCTTAAATTATGAAATATCTGAAAAACCACTGCTGAACGTTAGCAGTGTATAATGATGCTAGGTTCCCATGAAACAGTAGAATATTGAAGGTGGGCTGAAGGTGCAGGTATTCATCCCATTTAAATGAGTAGTAGAACACAGATAGTGATACTGTATTGGTAAAAGTAGTCAGGTGAGCAAGTGTATGAATAATGCTTATAAATTTTAATTTATAATATTATTAGCCTAGCATAGCTAGGCTAATAATAAAACTCTTAAAGAGTTTTATTATTACCCTAGCTATATAGTAGTCTCTCTGAAGATTTAAATTAGCTTTATTTCTTCTAAGTATCATCAATGGGTAGAGACACTGTTCATGTAACTTCCGAATTACATTTCAGTTTGGAGGTGTAGCATAGAATTGTTTTTACTAAACTAGTTTTCCCACCAAGGTAAGACTATCTGAAATAAGGAAGCATTCACCATTATTCATTCAGTAGCTGTCTTGCCAGAAGTGTGTTGACATTACAGTTAAAGTGACCCTCTGATTGCAGGATCCCCACAACTCCTTCGGAGTGAGTGCAGACACTGTACTTCCCACTCCAGGACTCAAGCCCAGCTAGCTGGTCTCTTTGAATCCCATCATGATGGTTAACTTGCTCATACTCCAACAGCTTGTTGAACCATGAAACCCACTTCTCTACTCCCATCAAACACATACACAAGCCTGCTACATGCACAATAACTTAACAGTCAAAAATTTATTAACCCCAGATCCCTTCAACCCTCTCATGGGATAACCCCAACCCCTTCTTCCTTCCACCCCAGCTTGTACACACTCTTGGTCATTCTACTCTGCTCTATCCTCTTTGAATACCTAATGACCTTAGCAATCTATCCTCCACCCTCTAAATTATACCTTTGATAATCCCACATTGTCTTCTGATTTCTACACTGAATTTTCTGCATACCATTCAAACTAAACATTGCTCTCAAACATGACATTTTCACTGCCTCTGGCCTCATTAGTGTTTAACCCTTTCAGGGTCCGTGCCGTAGATCTACGGCTTTACGTTAAGGGTGCACCACATAAAACAAATCCTGCAGCACACAGTGTATAATGAGAGAAAAAAACTGAGACCGTGATTTTCGATTAAAACAGCGACTTTGCAGTGTTTTTTCATATGTTTTTTATAGTTGTATTTGCGATTTCTTGGTCTCATTTGATAGAATGGAAGACGTATTACAGAAATAGAGATGATTTTGATTGGTTTTAGCACTGGAAATGGCTTGAAACGGAGCTCAAAGTAGCGGAAATGTTAAATTTTTGCCGATGTTCAAGAGTAAACAAATGACTTAACACATCTAATACACGCCAGCTGGTGGGTCTAATATATATTCACAAATGTGGTGGTGATATTTATACAATTATTACAATATTGCATAACAGTAAATCATCTATTTTTTGGTTTGAATAAAAATTCATTATGTGAATAAAAAATCAAAATGGAATTTATTGGTAAAGCCTCAAAATGTAACTAATGAACAGAGGAAATGTTAGTTCTGGACCCTATTTTGAAATTGGAATATTTTGAACTTTGTGTTAAATTGGCCAAATTACCAATTTCCGATCACTTTATTTTGTAGTTGAAACAGTTGACTTGGCGATTTCTTGTGCTTAATCGATAGAATAGAAGTAATACTAGTGAAATAGCTAAGAATTTGGCCGACTGGAATAATGTAATTGGCCTAAAATGGGAGTGAAAGTCGGCAAAATTGCCAATTTGTAAATATCACTGACACATCAAAATTCGCGAGAGCATAATTTCGTCAATTTTCCATCAAATTTCGTACTTTTTGTTTTATTACCTTCAGAAAAAGATTCTCTACCATTTCATAAGAAAAAATAAAAAAAAATTTTTTTTGAAAATTCTTGGACCCTGGTGTGCACTTCAAAATTTGGCCTCTGGACACTGAAAGGGTTAAAAACCAGGCTTCACTTCCACATATTGGTTGGCACCACTATCCTCAGGTACATCTCCCTTTTTGCCTCCTTAGATACACTTCTTTCCACAGATGCCTCAACAGCCCCTACCTCTTTCCTCCCTTGTCCTGTGATTCACCTTGTCTTTCCTAAACTTTTTTTTAACAAGTCAGCTGTCTCCCACTGAGGCAGGGTGACCCAAAAAGAAAGAAAATCCCCAAAAAGAAAATACTTTTATCATCATTCAACACTTTCATTTCACTCATACATAATCAGTTTTTGCAGAGGTGCTCAGAACATAACAGTTTAGAAGCATATACGTATAAAGATACACAACATATCCCTCCAAACTGCTAATATCCTGAAACCCATCCTTTAGAGTGCAGGCATTGTACTTCCCATTTCCAGGACTCAAGTCCGGCTATATAAAAATAACCGGTTTCCCTGAATCCCTTCACTAAATATTACCCTGCTCACACTCCAACAGATCGTCAGGTCCCAAATACCATTCGTCTCCATTCACTCCTATCAAACACGCCCATGCACGCCTGCTGGAAGTCCAAGCCCCTCGCCCACAAAACCTCAATTACCCCTTCCTTCCAACCTTTTCGAGGACGACCCCTACCCTGCCTTCCGTCCCCTACAGATTTAAATACTCTCCATGTCATTCTACTTTGATCCATTCTCTCTAAATGACCAAACCACCCCAACAACCCCTCTTCAGCCCTCTGACTAATACTTTTATTAACTCCACACCTTCTCCTAATTTCCACACTCCGAATTTTCTGCATAATACTTACACCACACATTGCCCTTAGATTGGACATCTCCACTGCCTCCAACCTCCTCCTCGCTGCTGCATTCACAACCCAAGCTTCACACCCATATAGGAGTGTTAGTACTACTATACTTTCATACATTCCCTTGTTTGCATCCATAGATAATGTTTTTGTCTCCACAAATACCTCAGTGCAGCACTCACCTTTTTTCCCTCATCAATTCTATGATTAACCTCATCCTTCATAAATCCATCTGCCGACATGTCAACTCCCAAGTATCTGAAAACTTTCACTTCTTCCATACTCCTCCCCAATTTGATATCCAGTTTTTCCTTATCTAAATCATTTGATACCCTCATCACCTTACTCTTTTCTATGTTCACTTTCAACTTTCTACGTTTACACACACTCCCAAATTCATCCACTAACCTTTGCAATTTTTCTTTAGAATCTCCCATAAGCACAGTATCATCAGCAAAAAGCAACTGTGTCAATTCCCATTTTGTATTTGATTCCCCATAATTTAATCCCACCCCTCTCCCGAACACCCTAGCATTTACTTCTTTTACAACCCCGTCTATAAATATATTAACCATGGTGACATTACACATCCCTGTCTTAGACCTACTTTTACCGGGAAGCAGTCTCCCTCTCTTCTACACACCCTAATTTGAGGCTCACTATCCTCATAAAAACTCTTTACAGCATTTAGTAACTTACCACCTATTCCATATACTTGCAACTTCTGCCACATTGCTCCCCTGTCTACTCTATCATATGCCTTTTCTAAATCCATAAATGCAATAAAAACTTCCCTACCTTTATCTAAATACTGTTCACATATATGCTTCAATGTAAACACTTGATCTACACATCCCCTACCCATTCTGAAACCTCCTTGCTCATCTGCAATCCTATATTCTGTCTTACCTCTAATTCTTTCAATAATAACCCTACCATACACTTTTCCTGGTATACTCAGCAAACTTATTCCTCTATAATTTTTACAATCTCTTTTCTCCCCCTTCCCTTTATATAAAGGGACTATACATGCTCTCTGCCAAGTCCCTAGATACCTTCCCCTCTTTCATACATTTATTAAACAAAAATACCAACCACTCCAATGCTATATCCCCCCCTGCTTTTAACATTTCTGTCATGATCTCATCAGTTCCAGCTGCTTTACCCCCTTTCATTCTACGTAAAGCCTCACGCACCTCCCCCACACTCGCATCTTGTTCTTCTTCACTCCTAAAAGATGGTATACCTCCCTGGCCAGTGCATGAAATTACGGCTTCCCTTTCTTCGTCGACATTTAAGTTCCTCAAAATATTCTCGCTATCTACCCAAAACCTCCATCTCCCTGTCTACTAACTCCCCTACTCTGTTTTTAACTGATAAATCCATTCGTTCTCTAGGCTTTCTTAACTTGTTTAACTCACTCCAAAATTTTTTCTTATTTTCATTAAAATTTCTTGACAGTGCCTCTCCCACTCTATCATTTGCTCTCCTTTTGCAATCTCTCACCACTCTCTTCACCTGTCTTTTACTCTCCATATACTCTACTCTTCTTATAACACTTCTGCTTTGTAAAAAACCTCTCATAAGCTAACTTTTTCTCTTTTATCACTCCCTTTACTTTATCATTCCACCAATCACTCCTCTTTCCTCCTGCCCCCACCTTCCTATAACCACAAACTTCTGCCCCACATTCTAATACTGCATTTTTAAAACTCATCCAACCCTCTTCAACCCCCCCACTACTCATCTTTGCACTAGCCCACCTTTCTGCCAATAGTTGTTTATATCTCACCCTAATTTCCTCCTCCCTTAGTTTATATACTTTCACCTCCCTCTTGCTTGTTGTTGCCATTTTCCTCTTTTCCTATCTACCTCTTAATCTAACTGTAGCTACAACTAAATAATGATCCGATATATCAGTTGCCTAAACACATCTGCCGAAATGTCCACTCCCAAATGTACTGTACATTTACTTCCTCCATACTTCTTTCCTCGAGTCTGATATCTTTTCTTTTATTACCTAGTCTTGTTATCCTGCTCTTTTCTGTGTTCACTTTCAACATTCTTCTTTTACATCCCTCCCCAAATTTGTCCACCAGTCTTTACAACTTCTCTTCAGAATTTCCCAAAAGAATTGTCATTGGCAGATATACAGCACCATTTTGAACATCACATATTTTCTGTAATACGTAATGTATGCTGAATGCCAATCATGATGTATGGCTATATTTGTTTAGAGACGCATTCCATCCATTAAGGGGGCAGGCGGGCAATTTTCCGCGCGCGCTCACCGAAAAATCGAAAAAATATGGAAATTGAGTTATATATACTGAAAAATAGCTCAACTCTTTGGCAACACAATGGTACCAGAATGAATGTTCTACGACGTTTCTACAAGAAATTATAGTCATTTATATCAGGTATGGTGACGGCGATGTTGGTACCGAGTCTGCTCACGGCCTATATATTTTTTGGAGTTATTTTCTTGTTTTTTATCGCCTTTTCTTGCATTATTCTTTCTAATATAATAACTGACTATTTGGCATCATAAAACAGTAGGTGGAGCTTATCGGCAGACTTAGTGACTACCGGGAACCAGACGGGAACGCTCAGCAGTGTTCCTGCTCCCGAGGTGCCAGCCAGGAATCACCCATTATTTCGCTTATATCAGCTTATATATCAACTCTACGGCTTATTTGTCTATCAGAATTGATCTAATATGATATAATAAACACTCTAAATAACATACAAACATGTTATATACTCTAGACTGAATAAAATAGGCCATAATATGGCCCAGAGATTATCGGGAATATTTCGATATAAAAGTGTAACTGGTCACCCTGTCGTCTCTGAGTAAGAGAAAACGGTGTTTAGAGGCTAACTGCACTAGAACATCAGTTTACTAAGAAATACACCCAAACAAACGCGATTTTTCGCGAAAAAAATTTTTTTTTTTTTTTTGAGACGGGGGCCGGCCGGCGTTCCGGCCGATATCTCGGAAGTAACTTATTCACCTATAATTTGATGTGGGTCCTTTATTACTTAATTAAATGGAATAATATTCACAGATATTGTAGAATAATGATTTCTCTTATTTTGACCGTAGAATTTTTGGAAATATTCCAAATACTTCGGGAGTTATGTGGGAGTAAAGGGCAGATTTTTTTGCCATATTCCAGATACTAACAAACTTTATTTTTTTGTGAAATAACGATAAGGTATTTAGAGGGAAATCTTACGGTCCGAATTAGTATTAGATTGTTCTCTCGGCACCAAGTGTCCAAACCACCTTACGTAGCCGCATATAAGAGTTACATCAACATCAAGGGCATTTTCAGTAAATCAGTCTTTTCTCAGTTGTTGTTTGAGGTATATTTTTTATAAATATTTTCAAGAAAGAGTGAGAACACTTTGTCTTGTGCACCAAAACTGGAGAAAATCGGACGGTAAATAAACGAGTTACGAAATTTGCCCTGTAGCCCCCTTAAATTAGCATTCAGAAAGTCTCCATATATTTATTTATGTACAACATCACACACTGTTGCATACTTCTGGCCATTTATTACCAAGGTAAGCCACAGTAGGAAACCATTTTACTATTACTCATTCAGTAGCTGTCTTAAAAGAATAAAAAGGCACAATACTGTTACTGGAAACATACACAAATAACCTGCAGATAGGAGAAAGAAACTTATGATAACAGTCCGGTCCAACATGGACCATTAACAAAAGTCACACACACTGTGTGTCTAGTTAACCCTTTCAGGGTCCACAGACCCTCTCAGAGACTTGTTCTCAGGGTCCCCCAAATTTAAAAAAAAAAAATTATTTCTTCTTATGAAAAGATAGAGAATCTTTTCCCGATCATAATGACACCAAAAGTATGAAATTTGATGGAAAACTTACGGAATTATGCTCTCGCGAAGTTAACGGTCTCGGCGATGTTTACGCATCGGCAATTTTGCCTACTTTGAGCCCTATTTTTGGCCAATTCCAATGTACTAATCTACAAAAATCATAATTATTTCGCTAGAACTCCATTTTTTCTATCGAATGAGTACAAGAAACCACCAATTTACCGATTTCAACTATCCAACACAAATTTCAAAAGATGCCAATTTCCAAATAGGGTCCAGAATAAACAAGAAAGACATTACTGGCACTAAAATAACATTTCCTCTGTTCATTAGTCACGTCCCCAGGCCCCCTCTTACATTTTTTTTTTGCTTTCCACTAGTCTGTTATGCAGACTACTGCATTAGTGTAGAAATGGTATAAATAATATCGGTGCACTTGTGAAAGAATATTAGACTCGCCAGTTGACGTGTATTGGATGCTTAGCATGATTTGTTTACTTTTGAACTTTGGTAAAAATCGAGCAGAAATGGTAAAAATCGAACATTTCTGCTACTTTGAGCTCAATTTCAAGGTAGTTTTCATTGTAAAACCAGTCAAAATCATCTCAATTTCTGTAATATGTCTTGCATTCTATACAATGAGACTAGGAAAAGTAGAATACAACAATGAATACCATACAAAAATATAGTGCAAAGTCTGTTTTAAATCCAAAAACACGGTCAAAGTTTTTTTTTCTCATTACGTACTGTGTGCTGCAGGATTTTTTTATACTGTGCACACTGCCCACATAGACCCATTCTTTCATATGTAGGCCTACCAGCTTTCTCTCGCTAGATTTGAAGGCGCTAGAATTTATGCGTACTAGTACATCATGGACACTGGTGCGTAAGCCTTACTAGTACGTCCGAAACCCTAAAAGGGTTAATGGTCCTAGTTGGACCGAAACTTTGTCATAAGATTTTTCTCGTGCAGGCCTGTGTGCAGGTTATTTATGTAATAGTTGTCTTGCCAGAAGCATTCTCCAAATGACCGTTCAAACTACAGTGTGCCCACCCACTCCTATGGTACTCTTTATTTTCTATTTCTACCATATAGGCTTCCATACTGCCACACTTGTTGCAGAAAAACATGCAAAGTGAAGTCATCTCAAACAGTTCTTTTACTGTATTTTAAATTCATACTGGATTTCAGGTTTTTTTCCTCATCAGTTCTTTTTCTACAAGGCACATATTTTCAGATTGATGAATATAGCAACCGTGTTGGCAACTTCCTGGTGGAGCGAGGGTACAAGCATGGGGACACTGTAGCACTGTTCATGTATAATCGGCCAGAATATGTGTGTGTCTGGTTAGGATGTGCAAAGGTGAGCAAATTTTGTATGCTAAATATATACATCATACAAAAGTGTTGATTGCCTTTTCCGAAACCTCTTTACATAATGATTGTTTATAAATACAAACAGCGTTGCATGACTTGTACAGGTTTAGCATTTTGTTTCACAGTAATAATAATAATAATAATAAAAGAGGGGAAAGAGGGACTATAAATGTATTAATTCAAGGATTATGTGGAGTAAAATAAAGATTGGATGTGAAAAGTGGGTTATAGTAAGCGTGTATGCACCTGGGGAAGAAAGAAAGTGTAGAGGAGAGAGAGAGAGATTTTGGGAAATGTTGAGTGAATGCGTGGGGAGTTTTGAATCAAGTGTGAGAGTAATGGTGGTTGGGGATTTCAATGCTAAAGTGGGTAAAAACGTTATGGAGGGAGTAGTAGGTAAATTTGGGGTGCCAGGGGTAAATGTAAATGGGGAGCCTTTAATTGAGCTATGTGTAGAAAGAGATTTGGTAATAAGTAATACATATTTTATGAAAAAGAGGATAAATAAATATACAAGGTATGATGTAGCACGTAATGAAAGTAGTTTGTTAGATTATGTATTGGTGGATAAAAGGTTGATGGGTAGACTCCAGGATGTACATGTTTATAGAGGGGCAACTGATATATCGGATCATTATTTAGTTGTAGCTACAGTTAAAGTAAGAGGTAGATGGGAAAAGAGGAAGGTGGCAACAACAAGCAAGAGGGAGGTGAAAGTGTATAAACTAAGGGAGGAGGAAGTTCGGGGGAGATATAAGCGACTGTTGGCAGAAAGGTGGGCTAGTGCAAAGATGAGTAGTGGGGGGGTTGAAGAGGGTTGGAATAGTTTTAAAAATGCAGTATTAGAATGTGGGGCAGAAGTTTGTGGTTATAGGAGGGTGGGGGCAGGTGGAAAGAGGAGTGATTGGTGGAATGATGAAGTAAAGGGTGTGATAAAAGAGAAAAAGTTAGCTTATGAGAGGTTTTTACAAAGCATTAGTGTTATAAGAAGAGCAGAGTATTTTTTTTTTTTTTTTTTTTTTTTTTTTTTTTTTTTCAACAAGTCGGCCGTCTCCCACCGAGGCAGGGTGACCCAAAAAAGAAAGAAAATCCCCAAAAAGAAAATACTTTCATCATTCAACACTTTCACCACACTCGCACATTATCACTGTTTTTGCAGAGGTGCTCAGAATACAACAGTCTAGAAGCATACACATATAAAGATACACAACATATCCCTCCAAACTGCCAATATCCCAAACCCCTCCTTTAAAGTGCAGGCATTGTACTTCCCATTTCCAGGACTCAAGTCCGACTATATGAAAATAACCGGTTTCCCTGAATCCCTTCACTAAATATTACCCTGCTCACACTCCAACAGATCGTCAGGTCCCAAGTATCATTCGTCTCCATTCACTCCTATCTAACACGCTCATGCACACTTGCTGGAAGTCCAAGCCCCTCGCCCACAAAACCTCCTCTACCCCCTCTTTCCAACCCTTTCAAGGACGACCCCATGCCACACATTAACTAAATAATGTAGATCTTAATACTACTGATTGCGTAAAGGATTTAGGAGTTTTGGTTAGCAGTAATCTAAAACCAAGACAACAGTGCATTAGTGTTTGCAATAAAGCTAACAGAATTCTTGGCTTCGTATCTAGAAGTATAAATAATACAAGTCGTCAGGTTGTTCTTCAACTCTATATATCCTTGGTTAGGCCTCATTTAGACTATGCTGCTCAGTTCTGGTCACCGTACAGTGGACCCCCGCATAGCGACTTTAATCCGTGCAAGAGGGCTCATTGTTATGCGAAATGATCGGTATGCGAATGAATTTTCCCCATAAGAAATAATGGAAATCAAATTAATCCGTGCAAGACACCCAAAAGTATGAAAAAAAAAAATTTTACCACATGAAATATACATTTTCCTACACACAAAGAGAAGGATACATGCACAATATATATTGTGCATGTACTACTCTACTAAATGAAGAATAAATGACACTTACCTTTATTGAAGATGCAGCAATGACTGATGAGACACTGTGTCCTGGGAGTGCCTTTTCCTCCTGAGTACTGTAGGTCCTGTTTGGCATTTTCTTCCAGAACAGGCCTTATCACACTGCGTATGCCACTACGATTCTCAAATCTCTCAAACCAACCTTTGCTGGCTTTAAATTCACCAATATGAGCACTAGTTCCAGGCATTTTTCCCTGTTCACCTGGGCGTTAGTCGACTGGTGTGGGTTGCATCCTGGGAGACAAGATTAAGGACCCCAATGGAAATAAGTTAGACAGTCTTTGATGACACTGACTTTTTTGGGTTATCCTGGGTGGAAAATCCTCTGGGGTTAATTGTTTCTTGGTATTCTCAATAAGCCACACCAACAACGGTGCTACAGCAGCAGCAGCAGCAGCTGACAGTGCTACAGCAGCAGCAGACGATGCTACAGCAGCAGCAGACGGTACTACAGCAGCAGCAGACGGTACTACAGCAGCAGCAGCAGCTGACGGTGGTACAACAGCAGCAGCAGCTGACAGTGCTACAGCAGCAGCAGACGATGCTACAGCAGCAGCAGACGGTACTACAGCAGCAGCAGCAGCAGCTGACGGTGGTACAACAGCAGCAGCAGCTGTACCACCAATAGTAGCGATGGTTTGATTGGGGTTTATTATACAACCTGGCCAGCTCGGAGACACGCACTCCACTTTCATACTTATCAATGATCTTTTCTTCATCTCTATAGTAATTCTCACCCTTATTGCTGTAGGGTTGGCACTAGAAGCTTTCTTGGGGCCCATGGTCACTTATTTTGCAGATAAAATCGCCAAAAACACTGTAATAATACGAAATGTTCCGATTGTATGCTTGGATGTTACCGCGGAGGCTGGCTGGTAAACAATGCCACCGGCGGCACATGTGAGGCTGGCTAAGGGCGCACATTGGACGCGTCTTGGACGAAGAGCGGTGAGCGGGTTTTTTAGCGGTATGCGAGGCAAAATTTTTGCGATAAAAGCGAGCGGTATGCGGATTGAACGTTATGTGATGCGTACGGTATGCGGGGGTCCACTGTATTACAGAATGGATATAAATGCTCTGGAAAACATACAGAGGAGGATGACAAAGATGATCCCGTGCATCAGAAATCTTCCCTATGAGGATAGACTGAGGGCCCTGAATCTGCACTCTCTCGAAAGGCATAAAATTAGGGGGGATATGATCGAGGTGTATAAATGGAAAACAGGAATAAATAAAGGGGATGTAAATAGCCTGCTGAAAATTTCCAGCCAAGACAGGACTCGTAGCAATGGTTTCAAATTGGAAAAATTCAGATTGAGGAAGGATATAGGAAAGCACTGGTTTGGTAATAGAGTTGTGAATGAGTGAAACAAACTCCCGAGTACAGTTATTCAGGCTAAAACTTTGTGCAGTTTTAAAAATAGGTTAGATAAATACATGAGTGGGTGTGAGTTGGACCTGACTAACTTGTGCTGCTGGATCTGGTACCGTGCTCCTTCCTTGAGTGGAGGTGACCAGACTGGGTGGGTCATTGGGCTAATCCGGGGGGGGGGGGGACATGGACCTGCTCCGCATGGGTCAGTAGGCCTGTTGTAGTGTTCCTTCTTTCTTATGTTCTTTGTTGCCCTTTCTCTTTCAGCAGTTCATTCCATTGACCATGTTCACATGGCAGCTTTATTTGGATATTCTCTACATTTTTTTTTTTTATCATTCTTGTTTTTTTTTTTTCATTTGAGTATTGTTCTTTACAATTTTTTTTTTTTTTTTTTTTTTTAATTTTTATGTATAGTGATTTTTTTTTCTATTCTTCCTCTTCCATACTCTAACTCTTCCACAGAATTCATCTCTTCTACAACTTAGTTACTTACATGTGGTTATTTTTATATAGCCGGACTTGAGTACTGAAAATGGGAAGTACAATGCCTGCACTTTCAAGGAAGAGTTTGGGATATTGGAGTTTGGAGGGGTATGTTATATCTTTACATAAGCTTCTAAACTGTTGTATCTGAGCACCTCTGCAAAGACAGTGATTGTGTGAATGAGGTGAAAGTGTTGAATGATGAAAGTATTTTCTTTTTGAGGATTTTCTTTCTTTTTGAGTCACCCTGCCTCGGTGGGATATGGCTGGTTTGTTGAAAAAAAAAAATGTATGTATATATATATATATTTTTTTTTCAATAAGTCGGCCGTCTCCCACCTAGGCAGGGTGACCCAAAAAGAAAGAAAATCCCCAAAACGAAAACATTTTCATCATCATTCAACACTTTCACCTCACTCATACATAATCACTGTTTTTGCAGAGGCACTTAGATACAACAGTTTTGAAACATATGTAAAGATACAATATAAAAAGTGACCTGAAATAATTACAGTATCAGGGCCCCAATTATATACGTATATACCATCCTATTACACGTCCCACCAAACTGCCAGTGTCTCAAACCCCACCTTTAAAGTGCAGGCATTGTACTTCCCATTTCCAGAACTCAAGTCCCGCTATATGAAAATAACCAGTTTCCCTGAATCCCTTCACTAAATATTACCCTGCTCACACTCCAACAACTCGTCAGGTCCCAAAAACCATTTGTCTCCATTCACTCCTATCTAACATTCTCATGCACGCTTGCTGGAAGTCCAAGCCCCTCACCCACAAAACCTCCTTTACCCCCCTCTCCAACCTTTTTGATGATGACCCCTACTCCGCCTTCCTTCCCCTACAGATTTATACGCTCTCCAAGTCATTCTACTTCGATCAATTCTCTCTAAATGTCCAAACCACCTCAACAACCCCTCTTCAGCCCTCTGACTAATACTTTTATAAACTCCACACCTTCTCCTAATTTCCACACTTTGAATTCTCTGCATAATATTTACACCACACATTGTCCTTAGACAAACTGGCTGTATCCCACCAATGCAGGGGTGTCTTAAAAAGAAAAATGAAAGTTTTTCTTTTTAACCCTTAAACTGTCCAAACAGATCTATGTTCACCTGAGTAGTGCTCCAAAAGTAGATCTACGTTTTTTACATATTTTCAAATACAGTGGACCCCCGCTTAACGATCACCTCCAAATGCGACCAATTATGTAAGTGTATTTATGTAAGTGCATTTGTACGTGTATGTTTGGGGGTCTGAAATGGACTAATGTACTTCACAATATTCCTTATGGGAAAAAATTCGGTCAGTACTGGCACCTGAACATACTACTGGAATGAAAAAAGTTCGTTAACCGGGGGTCCACTGTATAACAAAAAAAAACGTAGATCAAAGTTTTTTTACACTTTTCAAATGAAAAAAACAAAAAGATCTTTTTTTATTTTACATACTTTCAAATGTTGAAAAAAACGTAGATCTACGTTTGGACAGTTTAAGGGTTAAATCTAGTAATTTTTACAGGAGAAGGGGTTACTGGCTCCTTGCTCCCAGCATTTTAGTTACCCCTTATGACACGCATGGCTTACGGAGGAAGAATTCTTTTCCACTTCCCCAGGTGAAATGTATAAATATTTCAAAAATTATTATATCTTCCAGGTGGGAGTTGTTCCAGCTCTAATCAACTTTAATTTGCGACAGTTACCCTTGATGCACTCAGTTCAAGTTGCTGATTCAAAGGCAATTATTTGTGGAGAAGACCTACAGGAAGGTAATACCATTGGGTTTTGTTGACTAAACGTAATGGGAAATGTGTTTTACTGCAAGAAAGTAATGTTTCGTATCTGATTTTTTTACATTATTCATATGATTGTACTGTGTAATGTAGGTGAAGTTAAGGTTGAAAACTAAATTCCTGAAATTTCAAAAAATTCTACCAATATTATTATTTCCTTTTATCCTTGTACTACAAAGTGTTTATATGTAGTTAGTCAATATTTTATGAAATATATACATATTTTTTGTTTCTTTGTACAACCTGTACAGCAACTGGTGGAATTCTGGATAAAGTAAACTTGCCAGTGTATGTGTCTGGCTGTGATAAAGCATCACCCTCCTTGAAGGGTAAGTACGGTAGCTCCAAGTTCATTTTTTATGTAATTACAGTAATTTGCTAATTAATGGAAGTTTGCTTTTGTATACATAATTTTGCACATCTACTAAAGATATATTAGAGAACAGTTTCACTTGCTGATAGCCTGCTACCTACCTAGCAACACTTAAAGTGGCTTACACCTGGTGCAAAAGTTTATAATTAGAACTATAGTGAATTGCAGAATTTTTTTTAGATGGTCTAGGTATTTTAATTGTTCTTCAGAATTTGAGAGAAATTTAAGATAATTTTAGGTAGTAGGTTGGTAGACAGTAGCCGCCCAGGGAGGTACTGCTGTCGTGCCAGGTGAGTGTAAAATGGAAGCCTATAATTGTTTTACATGATGGTGGATTACTGGTGTCTTTTCTCTCTCGAACATGCAAGATTTCAGGTACATCTTGCTACTTCTACTTGCACTTAGGTCACACTACACTTGGATGTACGTACAACCATACATATATACATATAGTGGTCCCTCGTTTTTCGTAATTAATCCGTTCCTGGAGCCGTTACTCTAAACGAAATTTACGATTTACGAATCAATTTTCCCCATAAGAAATAATGTAAATACAATTAATCCGTTCCTGACACCCAGAAGTATTAAAACAAAAAATTTTTAACATGAAATATACATGTAGTACATAAACAATACAATGGGAAATGATGAATGAAACATTAACAGCATAACACTTACCTTTATTGGAGATTCTTCTTAGTGTATGGGAGACTGGAGGAGGAGAGAGAGTGGATTGTTTATACAGTTTGGAAGGGGAATCCCCTTCCATCAACACCTCGGGTTTACCATTTGCTTTTGGGGTTGCTTCTCTTCTTGTTTCTTAATGCCACTAGGACCACCTTGAGAGTCATGGAGTCCTCTCTCACAAAATAACTGTGGGAGAGCTCCGTTTCTGGCATCTCTTTAACACTTCCCTAAAAATGACCCAAGACTTTGTCACTTTTACATGTTGCCAACCGGGCTTGCAACAACCTTGTTAGGGTGAGGGTTTCTCCATAAAGCTTTCCATCTTACCCCACATAGTAAAAATCTCTTTAATTTCTAAAGAAGGTACCTTCTTCCATCTCTCTTCCTCCTCCTCTGCAGCAAGATTTGAGCTGCAATGTGTTGCTCTTCCTGCTGAAGCTCTTGCAGCTCCTCAGTGGTGAGCTCTTCATTGTGGTCTTCCACCAATTTTTCCCACATCCTCCAAACTCACATCCAATCCCATGGAACTCCCCGTGCCACAATTGATTTACAACAGACATAGGGTCAGTCCCAAACCCTTCAAAATCCCCTTGTCGACACAATCTGGCCACAATTTTCCCCAGGCAGAGTTCAAAGTCCTGGTAGTCACTCCCTCCCAAGCCATACCTAAAAGGGTTATGCAATGGAGGATGCTGAAGTGTTCTCTCCAAAATTCCCTTATTGTCAAGTGAGTGTCTGTGGTCACAGTCAAGGCACCTGTGAAACATTGCTTTTGTGTAGAGTTTTTTAAAGTTGCAATAACCTGCTGGTCCAGGGGTTGGAGGAGAGGAAGTGGTAATCAGGAGCAAGAAACTTTACTGGGATGAACCCAAACTCCTCGAAAATTAGGTCTTTCCCAAATTTGGAGGAGAGCAGGTGCATTGTCCCTTACTAGCAGGCACTTTAGATCCAATTTCTTTTCCAGGAGATACTCCTTCACACTAGGGCCCCAAACACTTCATTGAACCACTTGATGAAAATTTTCCCCCGTGACCATGCCTTTACTATTAGATTTCCAAAACACACACAATTTACTCTTCATAACATAGTTTTTCCTGGACACTCTGGGATTTTCAGAATGGTACACTAGTAATGGCTTCACTTTGAAATCCCCACTAGCATTAGCACAGAACATTAGCATCAGCCTGTCTTTCATAGGCTTGTGTCCTGGCATTGCCTTTTCCTCTTGTGTGATAAAGGTCCTCTTTGGTATTTTCTTCCAAAAGAGGCCTGTTTCGTCACAATTGAACACTTGTTCTGGTTTGTCCTTCAGCCTCTATGTACTTCTGGAATTCATGCACATATTTTTCAGCCGCCTTGTGGTCCGAACTGGCAGCCTCACCATGCCTTACCACACTGTGTATGCCAGTACGGTTCTTAAATCTCTCAAACCAGCCTTTGCTGGCCTTAAATTCATTCACATCACCACTATTTGCAGGCAATTTCTTTACCAAATCTTCATGCAACTGCCTAGCCTTTTCACAAATAATCTAAGTCATAAGATATCTTCCTGCAATTGTTTCTCATTTATCCACACCCAAAAATAACTAATCAACCTCTTCCCGTCTGGTGATTTTCATTTTTGTCAGCATAGTTTCTCCCCTTTGCAACAACAGCGTCCTTTATTTCCTTTTTCTTGGCCCCTATGGAACATAAGGTTGTGTAGGGTTTCTTATACATCCTGGACAGTTCGGCCACACTTGCACCACTTTCATATTGTTCAATGAGGTTTTCTTAAATTCAATCGTTTTTCTCACCTTCTTTACCACAGGCTTGGGACTAGGAGCTTTTTTTGGAGCCATGGGAGCTTATTTAGTACTTGCAAGCACTAAAATTTAAAAGGAATATTGTGAAAAAATTTCGCTGGAGCACGTGAGGGGACCTTCGCTCACTTGTAAAAAAATGCCAGACTGGCTGCCGCCCCAGCTCACGCTGTGGGTACGCGTCCCGGACGAAAATACGACTCGCGAGTCAACCTATGAAAAGCGAGTCCAGGGTTTTTATGAAAATACCCTATATTGGCGAAATTTTCGATTGCCGGGGAAATACGAAAAGCGGGGGGACCACTGTGTTTTGTGTGTGTGTGTGTGTGTGGTGTGTAATTATATTTTTTTAGTTAATTTTTTTTTATATTATTTATTATATATTATTTATTATATAATTATATATATTATAATATATATATATATATTTATTATTTTTATTATCACACTGGCCGATTCCCCACCAAGGCAAAGGGGGGCCCGAAAAAGAAAAACTTTCACCATCATTCACTCCATCACTGTCTTGCCAGAAGGGTGCTTTACACTACAGTTTTTTAAACTGCAACATTAACACCCCTCCTTCAGAGTGCAGGCACGTACTTCCCATCTCCAGGGCTCAAGTCCGGCCTGCCGGTTTCCCTGAATCCCTTCATAAATGTTCTTTGCTACACTCCAACAGCCGTCAAGTATTAAAAACCCATTTGTCTCCATTCACTCCTATCAAACACGCTCACGCAATGCCTGCTGGAAGAAACCCCCTCGCCCAAAACCTCCTTTCCCCCTCCCTCCACCCTTTCCCTGGGCCGCCCCTCCCCCGCCTTCCTTCCATACAATGATACCCCTTTTGAAGCTTTTCTGTTTGCTCCATTCTCTCTACATGTCCAACCCCCTCAACAACCCTCCTCAGCCCTCGGGCAACTTTTTGGAAAACCCCCGCACCTCCTCCCTAACTTCCAAACTACGAATTCTGTGCATTATATTCAAAAACCACACCTTGCCCCAAATACACTCCACTGCTTCCAGCCTTCTCCCCGCTGAACATCACCCCCGTTTCCACCCAATGAGCGTTGGTAAAATAACTCTCATACTTTCCCCTCTTTGCCTCCAAGGTCAAAGTTCTTTTCTCCACAACTAAAAAGTGCACCACTCACTTTTTTTTTTCCTCATAAATTCTAGATTCCCCATGTTCATAACCCTCCGCTGACACCCCCACTCCCAAAATCTAAATACGTTCACCTCCTCCAACTCTCTCCCTCCCCCTAAATTTTAAATCTTTCATCACCTAATCTTTTTGTTATCCCCATAACCCTTTCTCTTTCCTGTATTCACCTTTAATTTTCTCTTTTCACACCCTACCAAAATTTCATCCACCAATTTCTGCAGCTTCTTTTCAGAATCTCCCAAGCACAGTGTCATCAGCAAAGAGCAGCTGTACAACTCCCACTTTGTGTGTGATTCTTTATCTTTTAACTCCACGCCTCTTGCCAAGACCCTCGCATTTACTTCTTTTACAACCCCATCTATAAATATATTAAACAACCACGTGACATCACACATTCTTGTCTAAGGCCTACTTTTACTGGGAAAAAATTTCCCTCTTTTTCCTACATACTCTAACTTGAGCCTCACTATCCTCGTAAAAACTCTTCACTGCTTTCAGTAACCTACCTCCTACACCATACACTTGCAACATCTGCCACATTGCCCCCCTATCCACCCTGTCATACGCCTTTTCCAAATCCATAAATGCCACAAAGACCTCTTTAGCCTTATCTAAATACTGTTCACTTATATGTTTCACTGTAAACACCTGGTCCACACACCCCCTACCTTTCCTAAAGCCTCCTTGTTCATCTGCTATCCTATTCTCCGTCTTACTCTTAATTCTTTCAATTATAACTCTACCATACACTTACCAGGTACACTCAACAGACTTATCCCCCTATAATTTTTGCACTCTCTTTTATCCCCTTTGCCTTTATACAAAGGAACTATGCATGCTCTCTGCCAATCCCTAGGTACCTTACCCTCTTCCATACATTTATTAAATAATTGCACCAACCACTCCAAAACTATATCCCCACCTGCTTTTAACATTTCTATCTTTATCCATCAATCCCGGCTGCCTTACCCCCTTTCATTTTACCTACTGCCTCACGAACTTCCCCCACACTCACAACTGGCTCTTCCTCACTCCTACAAGATGTTATTCCTCCTTGCCCTATACACGAAATCACAGCTTCCCTATCTTCATCAACATTTAACAATTCCTCAAAATATTCCCTCCATCTTCCCAATACCTCTAACTCTCCATTTAATAACTCTCCTCTCCTATTTTTAAACTGACAAATCCATTTGTTCTCTAGGCTTTCTTAACTTGTTAATCTCACTCCAAAACTTTTTCTTATTTTCAACAAAATTTGTTGATAACATCTCACCCCACTCTCTCATTTGCTCTCTTTTTACA